CAGTGGAAACGAAAATGGTGGGTGTGTATTAAAATAGTGGAGCTCCCACAAACTGGTACGTGTTTTTTCTTTGGCCTCCTTTCTTAATTGGTCTCCAAAAAGAGTACCCTCAAAAGGTGGCCCCGCCTTGCCTAACGCCATGGTTCTAAGTCCACCGATTGGGTTATTTCACCAGGGTTACAAACCATCAACCACCTGACGCGCCATGCGAACGATCGCGCCCTTAGCATAGGTGTCCTTTTTAGCTTGGTGTAAAGATAGAAATCGATGGGTTCCATCTTTATCTACCAGGGAAACCCATTTGTAATTCCAAGTGGTCACCTATGACAGCTGGTGTTTTTTTCCCCCATGTGCAAAATCCCAAGTTCCGAAAAGCATTTGTTGGGGGGTGGAGTGGTTCTGGTTTTCCCCAACAGCTGACAGCTTTGGGTTCTCAGCCCAGATAGGCTCCGGGGTGGTCCGGGGCGGCCCTGAGGTAAGGTTCCACGAGGGTTCCACGAGGGTTCCACCAGGGTTCCACCAGGTTCCACGAGGGTTCCACGAGGGTTCCACGAGGTTCTGCGAGGGCTGCGGGGTGCCGCATGCTGTTGGGGATATCACCTGAGCTTATTTTTTGGTACCCCTTCTTTCGGCGGCTTTAAAGGAAACCAACAGGAACACTCAGCACATTTGGAGGTCCCCTAAGAAAAGACACCCAGACCTTGCTCTTTTAGCGCTCTCCACCGGAAAAAGCACGTGCCTCCAAAAACAACAGGTACCAATTCTGGGGTTGCCGTTTTCACGACACGAAAAGGACACTTCCAGAGCCCACTTTGGGGGGTCCTTGTTTTACACTCCCATGTGCTGATGGAATGAGGGAATGAACCCATTTTCCAAGCTTGCTGGTGCTCAGTAGCGAATGTGGAAATGCACCCAGGCTTTTGTCCCCAAAAAGGAAACCACCAGTTGGATGGTTTGTAGGGGTCATTCCTTGCCTATCGCACCAACAAGTTTTCTTCCCATGAGTGGCGTCCCATTCTTTTCAATCCGCGCTCTTTTCTTGAACGCCGCTCGCTGTTTTCCATGGGTTTATGGTGGTTCCCTGCAACAAACATGGATCCCTGGAACGAATGGTTGGAAGTTACCCCTGGGTGGCAACTCCATTCCCTTCAAGGAACCCGCCAGTTGGATGGTTCTTCTCGGGGTCGTTCCGTTTCTCATTCCCATAGGTGTCCTTTTTGGTTGATTTGGTTTAAGATTAGAGGGCCCTGGTTTACCTGGTGGTTCAATCAACTACCAGGGCCATCTGGCCATGGGTCAAAAGGCACCCCCAATGAACATCCCAATCCCCACTAAAATAGACTAAAATGGGTGGTGCGCCTACCCCAAAATGGGACGCCATTGGTTTTGACCCCCAGCCATCTATTTTTCCACCTATGCTCCTTCCGCGTTTCTCGGTCTTCCTCAGACCATCGATCTCCGGAACGAATGGTTGGACGTTACCCCTGGGCTGGGTGGCTTCCGCTCCATTCCCTTCAAGGAAACCACCAGTTGGATGGTTCTTCTCGGGGGTCGTTCCGTTTCTCACTCCCACAGGTGTCCTTTTTGGTTTTGACCCACAGCCATCTATTTTCCAACAAGAATGACACCTATGCTCCGTTGATTTGGTTTAAGAATAGAGGGCCCTGGTTCACCTCAACTACCGAAATCCATCAAATCCAAGAAAAAGGACATAATTGTTCCTTCTGTGTGTCTCATTTCAGGCCATGGGCGCGGCGATCTCCTGCTTCCCTGGCGCCACGGCGGTGTGCGTGCCGCGCGCGCGCTTCGCCCCGGTGAAGACCACCAACGACTTGTTCTCCCTGCGCTCGGACGCCTACGTGCAGACCCCGGACTTCCGCAACCCAAAGATAAGAAACAAATGAAACCGCGGGGTGCCAGCGTATTTGTGTTTTAATAGGTAAATCGATAGATAAATAAGCTTAGGTGATATCCCCAACAGCATGCGGTGCTCTTTTTAGTGCTCGCACCACCCGGCAGCCCTCGCAGAACCTCGTAGAACCCTCGTGGAACCCTCGTGGAACCCTCGTGGAACTAGACCACCCCGGAGCCTATCTGGGCTGAGACCCCAAAGTTTTCAGCTGTTGGGGAAAAAATGAATATATATATATATATATATAATATATTTGCGCTCTCTCAAACAGCCGGAAGCTCCCAGAAGGGTTGTGTAAGTGGAACCAAGTCTTGTAAAGGGCTCGTGGGAGCTTCCATGTTAGCCTGGGGGAGGCTAGTTCAAGGAAGGGCCCATAGATGTTTCACTTATATAAGAAGCACCCAGTGGGATTCCTTCGCCAGTTTTTCTTTTCCCAAGGACGCACCCAGTGGCTTTTTTCACTTTAGAAGCACCCAGTGATTTTTTTTTTTTTTTTTTTTCCAAGGACGCACTCAGTAGATTATCACTTAAGACGCACCCAATGCAGTGGGATTTTGTTGCAGGTTTTCTTGCTTCCAAGGACGCACCCAGCGGATTTTCACTTAAGAAGCAGCCAGTGGGATTTTGTCCAATTTTGTTTCCAAGGAAGCCGCCAGTGGGTTTGTTTTCACTTAAGAAGCACCCAGAGTTTGCGTTTTTTCCGTTTTTGTTCAAGGAATAATGTGTGGATTGTCACTTGTGAAACCCCCAGTGGGATTTCGTCCCATGCTTTTTTTCCCAAGGAAGCACCCAGTGTTTTTGTTGTTCTTATATGTTTTTTCTCCCACACCTGGATTGTGCCCGGCGTAACCGTTGGATTCCGTCGTTCATTGTTTGTTTCCGCAGCTTTGATTGGGAAGGCCTTTTCCAACCTTGTGTTCGGTTTAGGGTTTCCCCTATAATTCAATCTTCCAGCTTGTTTTGGGGGGCACCGATTGATTCCGGGCCTCCCTTTTTGCCGCACCATTTTTTTATTTGGAAGGGTTTCTCTTTAAGCTCGAGCTCCCTGTTTTGGGGGCTGCGACGCTGTTTTTGTTCCGCAACTCTGGCGGCTTTTTGTGGGGAAGGGTCTTCCTGCACCTCAAACAACTTGCTGGTGCTCAGTAGGGAATGAGGGAATGAAGCCTTAAAGGAAACCACCAGTTGGACGGTTTATAAGGTTCATTTCGTTTCTCATTCCCTGCCTATCGCACCACAAGTTTTCTTCCCATGGGTGGCAGCTCCATTCTGAGGTGTGTCCCATTCTTTTCAATCATCGCTCTTTCCTTGAACACCGATCGCTGTTTTCCATGAGTTTATGGTGGTTCCCTGAAAAGATTGGGATCCCTGCTTGGGTGTTCGCCAAGTTAGTAAGGTGTTGGTACCCTAGGTTTTAGCCCACTTCTAAGTCCCCCGTTCAGTGGGGTTAACAGCTTGTTATAAGCGGGTGAAAAACAAACCCCCCAAACGGAGATCACCACTTCCGAGCTTGGCGAATTGAAGATCCGAGTGGAAAGAATGATGAGCAGTTACCGATGAGCATGGATCCTGGAACGAATGGTTGCATGGATCCCTGAAAAAAGCCCCGAAAAGCGGTTCCATGGGTTTAAGGTGGCTCCCTAAACAAAAAAGCACGGATTTGCTGGAACGAACGGGCTTCCGCTCCATGCCTTGAGGTATCGAGCTGGATCCCCGGCGGGAGGGCGTGCCGCCCAACGTGAAGCTGGACGGCATCTACAAGTTCGTGGACGCCATGGACGCCATGATCCCGGCCGGCGCGCCCTCGTTGATCAAGTGCAAGAAGCTGGTGGTGGAAGGACCCAAAGGGAGAAAACCGTTTTTGTTTCTTCTTCCTTTTTTTCCAGGGGGGTTGTCTCTTTTGTGTGCTTGTTCTTGGTTCGGATCGTTTTGAAGCAGGGGCTGCAAAAAACAAACGGTCAGTTGCTACTATACCAAGGGTTGGGGAGAGGACCTATCGCGTTCCCTGCCGGAGTTGTCATTGAGGGCGAGGTGACAATCAAGAACGCGAGCGGAGAGGTGAAATCGGTGCCCGCAGGCGTCCACAAGGATACCACCCTCGAGCTTTGATCTTTCTCAACTTTTGGACCACCTGGGAGTTTCTCGAAATGGCGGACCCCCTTTTGGTGTCTCACCGGAAGCCCAAAAGGAAGCCAGCATCGTTTCAGAGACCGATTCTGTTTTTTTTGAGAAACATGCGCCCAAAATCGACCCATTTTGGTTGGTATTTCACCGGAAGCCAAAAGGAAACCGACCGATTCCGTTTTGGGAACCCCCCAGATCGCTTACCTAGCTATCGTGCGGAGAAATCCGCGCTCCAGACGTTTTCCCGCAGAGATCTTGAGCCTGAAAGGCGCGAGAGAGCTGCACGTATAGACATAGATTTCGATGGCCGAAGGGCATAAAACGTGGAGAGGGACAGCTCCCTGCTCGGCTGTGTTTTTTAGGGGCTACCCCAAAAACGGTGGTGTTCGTACCAACTCTCAAAAAACCAGAACGAGCTCGCGACAAGAAGGGCCGCGGATTTTGCTCCAGGCCGGAGCTGCTGGCGTCAGAGGTTGTTTGGGCGCCGGTGACCCGGCAGTCCTACTGGCAGGCGGGAGGGACTGAGGTTGGGGGAGGTTGGGACAGGTTGCGGGTTGGGTTGGGGAGTGGAGGGTTGAGGAGGTTGGGGAGTAGGTGAGGGTGGGGGGAGGTTGGTTGAGGAGTGGGTTGGGGGGGGGAGGTTGGAGAGTGGGTTGGGGGGGGGGAGGTTGGGGAGTGGGTTGGGGGGGGGAGGTTGGAGAGTGGGTTGGGGGGGGGGAGGTTGGGGAGTGGGTTGGGGGGGGGGGGGAGGTTGGGGAGTTGGTTGGGGGGGGAGGTTGGGGAGTTGGGGAGGTGGGGAGTGAGGTTTGGGGGGAGGTTGGGAGGGGCTTCCTCGGTTTAGTACCCTCGCGTCCATGTTGCCAAGGAGCCTGACTTCTCCTGGCGACCGTTTTACTCCAGGGACCCTCTGGTAGCTTCCATGCGAGTGGACGTGAGGGTAGCAATGTTTGTTGCAAAGGTGCTTGATTTCTGGATCTTTTGTAAAGTGAGATCTGGGATGGATCACGTGTGGCACAGCAAGGGTAGCATACGAGTACCCACCAGGCGCTAGTGTGTTTCATCCGCGGGTGTACCATGGTCTGAAGACCAACGCGACAACCATTGTAAGGGTTCCTACAAAGGAAACGTTACTCTGACCTCCCATTTGCTTACGAATATGCGATATTTTCCCCTGCTGGTTAAGGGAATCGATTTCACAACTGAACATATGTTGTCATTCCTTCCTGGAGACAAAAAAGCAAAGGGAGGTGACCCACGGGAGTTTTGGCCAGGTGGCCGTGTCCGACATCACCTTCGACAACGCCGACACGGGGCTTTGCGGAGAAGGATGCCAGGCGACACAAACTCCGCGCAAGAGGTGCTCCCTGTCTCGGGGGCAACATGCTAGGACTTTAACTTTTTGCCAACTAATGGGTTTTCCGTATTAAACCACTAAAAGTTATTCACATTAGCAGGGGAGCAGAAAGCAACCGAGTTAAACAGGTGGCTCCCAGCCATCCGGTTCGTTCGGTGTTTAGTTGTTTGGAGTTGGTTTTTAGAGGTGAGCTTTTGCGAATTTAACTCGCAAGTGTTTCCCTTTTCGCCGGGGATCAGTTTGAACATAGACCCGAAAGCAGAAGCCCTCAAAAATTCTCTCGGGGCCCTCGAGAACCAGGCAGTTGATGTGTAGACAGCAGGACGACTTGCTGGTTGGAAGGGAGCCCATTTGAACCAGTCCTCCAAGGGCATGGTCGGGACCCGGGACCCATTTCTTAGAACCCATTCAATGAAAAGGTCACCCAAATTGGGATCTGCGTTGGTCGTCGAACAGGGTCGCCGTTTTTGGTACACACCTGGGTGTTCCGGACAAACGACTCCTTGCAGCTGGCCACAGCTTCTTCCAGACTCGAGCCACATTTGGCTGTCATTTGAGCCATTTCCCTTTTTGGAAGCTCCAAACAGTGGATCGATCTTTTCAATGGAACCCACCAAGAAAGTTTAAGGGACTGTTCTAAGCCCACAGCTGTGGACAATGGATTTCTTCAAACAAACTGTGGAGCTTGGTTCCACTTTTCGACCCAGAATAAACTTAAACCTGGTGGTTCTTATTCCCCCCCAAAAAAAGAACCTGGGTTTAAGTCCATCCATGGGCAGTCAAAAAGTGGAACTCTGCTGGTGTCCCAAACATATTGACTTCCCGCTTCCTGCCTTTCGTTATTTTGTTGGCTTGCGATCGAGTCTGTGGCATTCCAGAAGATGCTCTGAACATGGAACCTAAAGCTGGGGATCCCCCAACAAGGTTCACGTGGAAAGGCCCCTCCCCCATTTTTTTTTAGAAACACGGCAGAACAGTTGGTGGTGCTCCTTGTGTTGTCCGTTGAAACAAAAAACCACCGGGCGCCCTAAACAAGACACGCCCAAATGAGGGGCTCCATGTTTAATCTGAGCACGTGCCGTTTTGGCCGTTCTGGTCTCCGGGCATTGAAAAGAAGCCTGAAGTTGCCCAAATCCTCGTTTCAGGCAACGCTCTGGTGGCTTGGAGCTCTGGAATTGGATTTGGGCCCCTGGTTCTTGTAGTGAACCCAAGCACCACTCCAAACCAGGGAAGCGCGAGGCCGGGCGCGCAGGTCCGCATGTTTTCCATGCATCTTTCCCCAGGTTTTCTTGTGGCTTCCAACCATTCATAGTTCCTTAGGTGTTCGTGGCTTTCAGTTGGTGTAGTGGGATTTTCCATTTAACCCACTAAAGTTAAACTTTTCGCAGGGGATCTGAGGACAGCCCAGGTTTGACTCGAGTCAATGTCCCGGGGAACGTCTTCGGAACGGCTAGAACTCTAGCGAGTACCGTCTCTGCCTCCGCCAACACTGAACAATACCCCGGTTCTCAAGAAAGTTATTTCGCGACCAAATCGATTTCCCCTTAAGCCTCTAGTTGGTCATAATGTTACTTTCATAGGCCCGGCTTTAGCCAAGCAACTCCCCCTCCCTCCCCTAACCCTCCACCCCACTGCTTTCCTTCCCCGAAGTCTTCATGACGTTCTAGTTGATTGGTTGGAGCCGAATCATTCCAAACCGTTCAACCTCTGATTTCCAAGTTGATTGCTTTCCTCGCTGGCATGGGCACGCCCCCAAAAACTCTAAGCTTCAGGGGACCTTCTTTCGGAAATGGATTCACCAAAGGGGATGGAGCCGCATGTCCCCAGTAGAAATGGACCCTCTCTTCCTCAAAGTCTGTGTTTTACAGAAAAACACAACTCACCCAGGAGGTCCCGCTCTCTTAAAAGATAAGTCCAGCCACAGCTTGCCAGGTGGCCGTCGACACAGGCACCTCAATGCTTGCAGGGCCCCCTGCTCTGGTCAGCAGCCTGCAGGCGCGCTCGTGCTAGCCGCGCGCGACATCGGCACGGCGTTTCTCTAAACACAACCAATCTGTCACGGAACAGCGGGTGGGGGGGGGGCGCAGATGGAAGGGGATGGAAGGGGAGGCAGGAGATGGAAGGGGCGGCAGGAGGGAGGGGAGGGAGGGAGGAGGGAGGGGGTTCAACAAGGCCTTGTTTTGGCCCCCCCCCTTGCCCCCCATGAATCTACGCAGCTGATTTTCAGGGGTTTCCTTTTTTTCAGTCAGCTCCATTTCTCGGTATTGCCAACTTTGGGAGTACCCTACGGGCCACAGCACGGGGTGGGATCGGCGTTCAAAAGCCCCTGGCTGCGGGGCTTTAAGTCCCAGTTGAGAAAACAAGGTGACGACAAGGGTCTGTTTTTTTGGAGTTGGTACCCCTTTTAAGGGTCCTTTGTTTTGGAGTTGCTACCCCTTGTTGGTCTGTTTTACAGGGAAACCACAAGGGAAACCGCATTCTTCTTCTTTTTTTTTGGGGGGGGGTCCCCTAAAAAAAGAAAAAAACCATGTTGACCAAGAGATCAGACCCCTGAAATGGCGACGGTGTCCTTTCGACTCGAGAAAGCCACATCCCCTTCCGGGAGTGCCCATTGGATATGCGCGCCTGCTTGCTCCGGTGGAGATATGGGGGTTGATCAAAAGGTCTGATGAACATGCCCATTGATGATGTGTCCCACTAAATCGGAAAAAATCGCCCATGGATTTCTGGGGGCCAGAATCTTCTTTTCTTTTCATTTTTCACTTGACTTGTTGCCTCTCCAAGGAATATTGATCACCCCTCACATGAGGTTCGGGCAAATTTGCAGACAACTTTTGCTCAACATTTCGAGCAACTGAGAGGCTCGCTCGAGTTTTGTCTCAGATGCGTACTGAGAACTGCAAAGGGGTGTGTCTCTTTATTTGGGGACCCGGTTTTAGGGTTGGTTTTGAATGGACACCAAAAGGAGACCATACTTTGGCCGTGGCTCATATGGCGCTCATATGAGCAACGGCGAGAATTTGCGGTCAAGTACAGAAAAGGGATGACCTACTGCCACGCTCAGCAAGTTGCGACTCAGGTGGTTGCCCGCACCAACATCTAATCTCATTGAGGGACACAAGTTGCATATTGGCCAGTTCTCATATGGGGGTTTCTCAAGATTGGGGACCGATTCCTCCAGGTTGCGTATTGGTTGATTTTTTTCCTTTGAAACCCATCCAAAAGGGGTCCCCTATTTTGAAAAAAGACACATATGTTGTCTACCGGGCTGCGTCAGCATTCAGCAGCATTCAAGATATGAGCCTTTAAACCCTAGTTCTTGTTGCAGATGCTATGCCTTGTGACCAAGCAACCTAGACGTTGCAGCTTTGGAATGGAGGCTTATTCTCAATCCCCACGTAAAGGCAATTCAGGGGACCTGTTTTGTACTGGATTCTGTTAAGAGGGTTCCGATTGCTGCACCAAGGGACAATAATGTGTGCAGCATCCAAACGGAACCCACGTGTTTGAAGCCATTCATCGGGTCACCCAAGCAATATGTACTCCCTGCTCCAAATACCCTCTGCTGTTTTAAGGGCAGTTTTTGGAAAGCCAGGTTTTTCGGGGTAAGTACCTCCTTTTTGAGTAGACTACATAGAGCTAGTGGGTCGACATCATACCCAAACCAGCACGAGGGCATTTACGGGGCAACCGCATCGCCAGGAAAGGCTTGACCCCAAGGCGCTGGGATGAGACCAAGCAAACCAACCATTCTCAGCCGCAAAGCCATGGTAGAACACGGTAAGTTTGAGGGTTCCCTTGTTCCCTTGTTTGAAAAATAATTGGGGCATCATGCGGCGCCTACAAATAATCAAGTGGAAGGCGGGCCGGGGCGGAAGGTGTCGGAGGTGGTGTGTTATTCCTATTTAATCCGCTTGTTAAAAGTGCTTGGGGCGGGCCATGGCGCGTCCATCAGAGGTAGTATGAGTCATTTGTTTTCATATTTGGTCCGTTAGGACAGCTGCCTCTTCAAACTCGCTATGAGGGAGCAACGCACTTTAGGCCTTCCCCCTCCTGGTCGGTCCGCCCCGTGAGTTCTGCCGAATCCGACCGCGTGGTTGGAGTTGAGCCTCGAGAAGTTGGAGGCTCAAGTTGCCTTTAAATCTACGGGGCGAAGTCGTTGCCTCCATCTTTGAAAGGGAACCTCAAGCGGCAATCGTTCCGATGGACACCAGCGAATTGCAATCTTTGGAACGGGAAATCAGTGACCCCTGCAAGTTTCGGACTAAATATTCGGACTATTTCGATCTTGGACCCCCGTATGTGTTCAATCTTTTGGTAAGTGCAAGTCTAACATACCAGTTGACGTGTTTGAGTGTCCGGATGTCTGATTGTGGGCGATGTACCTCTGGATGTTCCTGTGTTACAATCCCTTTCAGCTTGGTGAACTGCCCGTCACTCACACATGTTGTGGGCATCCCGTTTGCTTGACATTGTGGTCCAGGGCGCAGGGCCGGTTTCGCACGGTTCCTTGTGGTGCTCCTAACAGCGTTTCCAGCTTCGGGGTCGGATTGACTGATATGACGTGATGCAAGCCCGGCTCAACCAGCCTGCAAGCCCAACTTTTCAAAGGAGCGGTACGTCTCCTTTGACAGGCTCCATTTTATTTGGTAGAGCGGATAGCTCTACCTGGGTCTGGAGTGGCTACTTGGATGTTAGCAAGTGGTTAATCACCTGGGTGAAACAAAACACTAATGACAGGGTTAACTCCACTGAACGGGGGACCTATAAGTGGGCTTTTTCACCCAGGTTACCATGACTTACTAAGTCAGCCGAACACCCAAGTAGGTAGTCAACTTCGCTTCCGTCGATTTTCAGGCGCATCTCTGGCCTGACCAAAAACACCACCTGTTTATTTCCCAAAGCCCTGCGATTCAAAAAGGCTGAATCTATCCACATGTTTTTTCACAGTTACACATGTTCCTAAACACAAAGTGGGACACTTATTTAAAAACAAGAAGAAAAAGCAAAAAACAAAAACGATCCTCTGGCGGCTTGGCCGGTGCAGTTTTGAGATGTTCCTCGTTTGTCTCCGGCTGGACATGGCCCGGCAGTTTGGTTGGGTTTCGGCTCCTCAACTGCTGTGGTGTGCCTCTGGACCTTTCAGTAGCAGTGGGTCAGAATGAGGTGTGGGCTCAGAGGGGGATACACATGCAGGCATTGGAAGGAAGTCACACCCCCAAGCTGCTTCCTCAGCTGGCTCTTTTGGGGCCCGAAAACTAGTCACGCAAGCTTTGATGTTTCGGAGACCCTGCAGCAGTGGGATGCATGAGGCTGTCTTTGTGCTGCCAGGAAGATTGCTCCAACTTCGACCGCTTGCCCAACCTCGGCTTCAAGATTGGCAACAAGGCGTTTGAGTTGACCGCAAGGCTGTTTTTTGTGTTCTCCCCCAAGTAGTTCACGCCAAGTGGCAAAAGGCTATCGACTGAGGTCTAAACTTGGTGGCTCCCGGCCATCCCCTTAGCTTTTTAGCATTTTAGTGTTTAGTGGTAGTTTCCATTTGACCCACCAAAAGTTAGTCACTTTTAGCGGGGGCGGGGGGGAGATCCGAAAACGGGCAGCCCAGAAAAGATGAACATACAAGTAAGCATAGAGGATGCAGCGCACATTTGCTGCGCTCAGGGGCGTCCGGAACGGCAGAAGGAAAAGAGACGGTGGCATGTGGCTCCAAGTAAAAGAACCGGACCGCAGATCCTATGTATCCATAGAGTTACAGCATATCCGGATACATATGGAACATATTTCGGCAGGCGCTTTTTCTGTGACTCAGCAGGCTGCTTGTGCTTTCCCGCGGCCTGCCAGATCCTGAACCTGAAGCCGGAAGACTACATGGACCGGGCGTTGCCTTGGGTTTGGTCCTCTCCTGTCCTGAGTTCCGTTTCGGACTTTAGACACTTTTTGGGAAGACAACATTTTAGTGTTGAACAACAAGTTTGGACTTTTTGGGAAGTGAGTCTCATCGTGAGAAAGCCCGTTGCCACATGCCTTTGCAGTTTTTGCAACTCTTGTGAGCAGCTTCCACAAGTCAAGTCGGTTTGGGTGCGTTGCTTGTGGTGTTTGGTTCCGCGCCTCATGAGCGCGCGCGCGGCCACCAAAGTGCTGCGCCGCTTCATTTTGAGAGACTCAGCTGAGTCGCAGAAGTGAGGCCCAGCACGAACAGCAGCCATTTCGCCGCTTTCGCCGCTTTTTGCCTCAAACCTTTTGCAGCGGAGTGTAGGTCCGGTTCCCGAAGGCTTTTCTGCAACGACACCGATTTTCTGAGACAAGAGGGACGGCGAAAGTGCCGAAGTTGAACAGACCGAAGCCCAGGGATCGACTGGAGTTGCATTCTGGACCTTCGCTTCAGTGGATGCTATTGCGCCAAAGCAATGGGGGCTGTTCCCTCCCAGGGTTGCTGCCATGTCAACGCAGTGGTCTGTCCGGGCCTCGTGCAAAGAAACCACCGATTTCACTTCGGGGGGAATTGCGCGCACCATGTTTGCCAGTTATTGCTGGGTTCCCAGCCGTCCGGTTCCTTAGGTTTGTAGATCTTTTTAGTTGGTTCAGTGGTTGGGTTTCCGAATTTAACCTGCTAAAAGTTGTCTCAACTTTTCGCAGGGGATCAGAAAACGGACAGCCCAGTTTTATTCCGACGCAAGCGTTTGCGCTTTTTGGAAACGGCTACTGATCTTTGGATGTCCGGCTGGGTTCGGGCAATCCCTGATTTCTCTGCCCCCACCAGGGTTTCTGGGGTTTTCACCCTCAACTGGAATTGGTTCCCCCTTTGCCACGTGGAACCTGATTATTGATCATGCAACATTTTCCGCGGGCAGGGCCCGTGGTGAGCGTTGAAGGTCAAGAAACTGCTTGGCTCGAAGTCCCTTGGCTTCTTCCCAGCCAATCCTTCAACTTAGCTTTTGAGGTTTTTAGTCTCAGTTTGCCAAAGCCGATCGTTTGACCTTTTGCTTTTTTTTCTTCTTGGGTCCGTTTTCAGTCATAGCCCCAAAAGGTCCACCTTTTATTTCCGGGTCCCTAACGGCATAACGGCATCTGTGTAGTTGCTTTGGCGGTTGGGTCCAGTGGTTGGGTTTCCGAATCTCAGCCACTGAAAGTGGTCAAAACGGGCACGCAGCAGGGGGGTTCTTTCCACTTCCATGGCGAGCTGAGGCGACCTGGATCCAAAGAGCGCCTCCCTTTTGTACCTGGATATGGAGGACTCCGCAGGGACGGCGTTCAAATTTCCGACCGCCTGGGGTCTTCGGTTGCTGTTTTTCCCCGCGGAGTTTTTTGTTCGCTGGGGAAAAACGGGGTGTTTTTAGCCCCCTGCACAGGAGGCGTTTCACTTTGCTCGCTCTTTTCGAGAAGAGCGGTGGCTGCGGCTTTGCACCTCATTTCCTGAGTTCCGTTTCGGACTTGAAACGCTTTTTGGGGTTGGACCTTCTTTTTGTTTTTGGTAAGCCAAAAGTTTGGTTGCTGTTTTTGGTTTCAGGGTTTCTGAGACCTTCGGGCTTGCGGCCCTTTTCGCGCTTCCCACAAGTAGTGGGCCTGTCGGCACCTTTGGGCGGACTTCGGCTTCGTGTTGCCCAGTGGTGCCATTTTTCCTTTTTTGTCCCCTTTAAAGTCAACCAACCAAAAAAGGATGCTCTTTCTCCCCATGGCCACTGGGCATTTGAGTCTCAACCTTCGGTTTGAACATTGTTCAAGTTGCTAAAAGCTTTAGGGGTCTCAGACTTTCCAACTTGTTCGGAGAAACCATAAATGGTCACTTCTAAATGGGGTCTCAAATATTGGGGACCCATCCGGGTTGGCTTAGACTTTTGGTTTCCCTTTCTGGCTGGTTCGGCAGGCAGGAAATGAGTTGGACGAACGGGAAGCCACAAAGGGGACCGCTTCCTGAACCCAAGGTAAGGATCTTGTGGATTACCTTTGAACAGACTGGACATTCCGGAATCGGATGCACGTGAAAGTTATCACCTGCGTCTAGGTCGCCCATTACGTGGGTCTGTGCCTTTATTTGGTACCCGGACTTGGTCCCCGGTCTTTGGCGGAAGGTTTAAATTGCGAGGCATGGAAGCTCGGATTGGCCGAGGCTCGATTTGGATCAGCGCGCGTGGGATCCAATCCCAGCCGTCCGACAGGACGAGGGCCCAGACGCGCGGAGCTCGCCGCGGCTGCGGGGGGTGCCGGTGCTCCGGGTGCATAGCACCCAGCCCTTCCTGCGCCTCGGTGAGTCGGTCGGATGCAAAGCACGAGGCGCGAGATGACGGTGACAATGACGGTGAGTGAGGTTGGCAACGAGCTTCTGTCTGTGTTTCCTTTTTTGTTTTTGTCTTCTTCTCTTTTTTTTTTTGGGGGGGGGGGCATGGGGTGGCCCGCCTTTTTTTTTTGGGGGGGGGGGGGACATTGGGGTTTGGTGTGCCCGAAATTAGGGCACCCTGAAAGAACTGAGCAGAGGTTCCTCTGTGTGTTTTTTAATGACGCCGGGAGTGGGCAATCAGCCCTTGTTCTAGGCCTATTTCCAGATGAAACCCTGGTTATGTTGGGTTATTTGCGACTACTCGGCTAATTTCCCTGGGGTGTAATCACAGGGTGTAATAGGAACATCCTTAGAGAGAATCCTTAGAGTGACATCGGGTTTGGTGTCCCCGAAATTCGGGACCACCCAAGAATGGGTGGGGGTTCCTCGAATTCCTGCTCAACAAAAAGCGGGTACCTTCAACAAGACACACCCAAATGGGGGGGTTGTCAAAGGGGCGCTGTGTCCCCCAAGAAACACCACAATTTTTGCTTTTTTTTTTCCTTGGGGGGGACGGGGGGAAGCGTTGCCTGTTTTGAGGCAAACCCATGTAGTAAGTCATGCAAGGGTTTGTGCTTTTTGAGGGTGCTCTTCTTGGTGGTTTGAACGGGGAACAAAGGGAAAGCCACACGCAAACCACCCATTTCGGTGATACAGTACAGCGTTTTCGCTTTTTTGGGGCCCCCATTGTTTTCCACTCACCAAGCAAAACATATAGTTTTTTGCTGGGTTCGTAATTCCAGCAAAGAAAAACAAGACAGTCTGGTGTGTCCCCAACTTGTTCCGCGCTCTAAAGCAAGTTTTGAAAGCACGGGGGACTTCCATCCATTCGGGCACCTTCAATTGGTTTCTTGCCTTCGGGTAAAAGAAAAAACAGTCCGGGGGAAAACGCACTTACATTTTTGGGTTTTCATTGCTCAGTGTCACTAGAAACCATTCAAAATGACAGGAACCACACATATCATCTATGTTTCGGACCTTGTTTCTCAGGGTCGTTAGAAAGCCTTCGGACAACGCAGCCAAACGCCGACTTCCATGGGACTTGGCAGCTTGTGTTGAGCACCTGTTTCACCGATGGGTCACAGGCAGTTGTCATTTGAATGCAGCCGGTACAAGGGCATGTCCTGGTATGGGTAGAGGTATGGTGGTCACATACCTCGCATGATTTTTGTCGGGGGTAAGCGCTCAAGCTTTTTTCGGGGTATATAAGCCATGCCTGCCAAGCCAGTACCTGAATGACAAGAGGCCAGTAGTCAGGCTAAGTTGGCAGTCTGGATTGATGGTTTGGAGATTTGAACCCCAGTTCCTTTTGAAACCAAATGGGGAAGGTAGCTTCTAATGTCCAAACCACCAAGCCAAACCACCGATCGGGGGTAAGAGGCCAGTAGGGGCTGTGTTGTTCTGTTGTTGGGCTATCTCACCTCCCAAATTTTAAAACCCGCTAAGAAAAGGGGGGGTGACTTCAAAAAGGGTGAGGCCTCCGTTCGGAGCGAGAGAGAGAGAGAGAGAGAGAGAGAGAGAGGGAGAGAGAGAGAGAGGGTCAGACGGTCAGAGGGTCAGAGAGAGCCAAACCACAGAGAGGTATCAACGAAAATGGTGGTGATCCCTTGGTTTCCCCCTTGAAACCACTTTAGTGGGTACCGACTGCCTCCAAAATCTTTAAGTAAGAAAAGAGGGGTATCTCCACAAAAGCCGCCGAGCCGAGGCCTGATCGTTTCTTAGAGCTCGGAAAAAAAGGGGGGAAAAAAACAACAAGAACGAAACAACAAAAAAAAACGGGTCGCTGGGTCAGAGGCTCAGCCCAAAGCCAAGTTGTTTTTTTGCTGGTGCGATAGGTAGGGAATGAGAAACGGAAGAACCCCTCATAAATCATCGAACTGGTGGTTTTTCCTGGATGCGGGAATCCCCAAACCGGTTCATTCAACCACATTCCCTACCTACCGCACCAGAAGGCTTGGAAGCGTCTTTGAACAAGGAGCCCCCCAAACAAGTGGGATCCTTGTGCCCTTTGCGTGTCACGAAAAAAGGAACCCCAGAATTGAACACAAATGACCCCCTTTTTCAACCATCCAACTGGTGGTTTCGAATGCCTGGGTTCACTCCCAACTCGTTCCCTTCCGATTTCGCGGCGATCGCATGACCTCATTTAGCCCTCCAACTGGTTTCGAATCCCTCAAAACTTATTCCCAACTCATTCCCTCCCGATTTCGCATCCAACTAGTGGTTTCCTTTATTCGGGAATCCCTGGGTTCCTTCCCAACTCCTTCCCTACACATGGTTGTCGTTGGGAAACATTTTTTTGTTTGTTTCTCACATTTTTGCTTATGGTGGTTTAGTGGTCGAAATCCCCCCCTTAGCTAAATTATATTTTTTTGCTCCCCTTCCCACGTCCACCAAGCACCGACGTCCCCCGCCGTTTTGCTCTCCGAGGAAGGCCTCGGGCCTGGACCGCAGCGCGGTGGAGGAGTTCCGGGAGATGCTGCAGAGCCACGGGGTGAGCACGGGCTCCTGGGGCAAGGGCGGCGCCAAGTCAGTGGAGCACCTCTTCTGGGAGGCCGGGGGAGGTGCATTTTTCCCCCTTTTTCTTTTTTTTGGGGGGGGGATAAAGAGACAAGTCGTGGTTGTTTTATTTCATTATATACATATATATATATATATATAGTTTCTTCTTTTGTTCTTTTTTTTTGGGGAGGGGGGGCGCGAGGAGGGGGGAGGCGGGGATGTGGATGGTTCGTTTTCTTCTGGGAGGCTACCAGTTGCATTCGTTGGTGGTTCCCAGCCGCCCCCTTAGTTTTTTTTGGTTTTGGTTGGTTTAGCGGTAGTTCCCATCAACCCACTAAAAGTTTCAACTTCTCGCAGGGGTTCCAACCCACAGTGAGATTGACTGAGCCAGCGGGAGTTAGTTGACTTGGAACCCCCCCAAACATATCAATCCTGGTGCCCCCGCTCCTCAGAGATACACCCACTCAAGTAGGCCATACCTTCTTCTTTTTTGGGGCGGGGATATACGTTGGTTGACATTCAAGCATATGTCTTGGGAAAGTAGATTGAAGATCCAAGCAGAACCTCTCTAAGATGGGATATACAACCACCATATAGCCGATCGGTCCCGGCAAAGCGTAAGAACGGGGGTTGACCACAAGAACCTCTGTGAATTCCCCCGTAAGTCAGGTTGCCCCCGATTGGCTGTCCTGGTTCTTGTAAAGGGCCCCCAACCACCAAACCACCACAAATGAGGGCGGGGGTTCTAAAGAAGTGCCAAAACGAGCAAGCCAAAAGAGTGCACGACTTGGCAGTTTTTCCATTCCGTTTGTCTCTTGCATCGGGATTCGGAGCCGAATCCAAAGTGGCAATGGTCTTCTTGTTGTTTGTCCCAGAAACAATTCAAGCCAAAAGTCGGCTACTCCAAAAACAGACACACTCATCTGGTTGTCCTGAAGAAGCACATCCGGATTTGAACAGGTTCCTGGTTGTACAGAGTACCCTCCTGCTGCATGGATCGCACCAGGGATATCGTCCCAGTTAAATGGATATCGTCTTCCAGGAACCGGAAACGTCAGGTTCCATGACAACGTGGACAGGAGGGTACCAACTCCAAAAAAACACCTACCCACTACAAACGAGACAGGGCCAGTTACTTGATTGCTATTGGGTTGAAATTCACAGACCCCCTCAGTGTCAGGTTCCATGTCGCAACGTGAACAGGGTAAATGGGTGTGGCTCGAGATGAAAGAGCATGGGTTACGCAGGTGTTCATCTTTGGTTCCATTTTTACCAAGGCGCCATTCTGGGGCGCCCATTTTTTTTCGAGCCACTTTGCCGAACGGGCAAAAATCACGCAGGTGTTGGGTTTCATTTACCAAGGCGCCATTTGGGGTGCCCATTTTTTTGACCCCCAGCCGCATGGGCAAACACCTTCCATTTCCCAAGGCGCCATTTTTTGCGCCGCTTCGCCGAGGCCAACAAACCGTTCCCCCGAACAGCTCCCAGACAAAGTTCGGGTCCCGAGGGAGGCTGAGTGCCGCGGCAGGTCTTCTACTCCCAGGGTTCGCTGCTGACGGGCCTGGGGGCCAAGCTGAAGCGGGTGGCGCGGCTGCTCACGGTGCGGATCCTGGCCGACATCGAGGGCAAGGACGGGAGCTCAACAGAAACACCGAAGCCGTGTCCCGGAGCCAGACAAAAACGGGACTTTTCCAGGGGTACCTTCCATTTCCATTCTTAACCCAGGGATCCGAGTCTTTCTAAAAAACCTCTGGAAACCCGGGGGAAACGGCAGTTTGTTGAAAAGAAGGATGGTTGAAAAGAATGGGTATCAACCCCTAGAACTTTGGGGCAAAAACACCGACACCCGACCAAAACAGCGACGGTGAGTCTGAGGGATTTAGAACAAAAACAACAACAAGAGAAAACGGAGCCAAACGGAGTCCCTCAGTTTCGACACAACCAAAGCAAACCCACCAAGCAAGGACGGAGACCCCCTGTTTTGGTGGCGCGTTTGTTCCCAGTGGGTTTTGCTTCGAAGTTTTTCTTTACTTCAGCCCGGAGCGCGGGGCTGCTTGGGCCTCCCAGGCGATGGCGGGACTTAATGTGGGCCTCCCAATGGCCGTCTTCCTTTCTTGGCCTGAGAGAGAAATGAAATGACCCTTCTGAACAAGAGAGCCTGTGCTTTGACGTATAGCCACGCACAGCCTTCTATGGTTTGACGTGTCCTGTCTTTTGAGCTGAATGACCTGCATAGCTATGGTTGCCGGTGGCTTAGTGTGGAAACCGTGCTTCTGAACGACCTTTGAGAGTTGGGGGCAATCCAGTGAAGTGCGTTCTATTCAGGGAGGTGGTCAGGAGAAACTGTGAAGCACGAACCCCCTCAGTTGGATTGGAACATTAGCAAACAGCACCAATTGGTGTTTGACATTCCCCCGCCCAACCCCACAAAGCCCGCAGCCCCCCCGCTCCGCAGCTCCCCTCAAGTCCCCGCCAGGACCATGTCTTGGTCTCCCGGCTGCGTGTCCTCTACAATTGCCAGCACCAGGGGCTTCGCATGCCCCAGCGGAAGCATCTCGGATCTCTGGGGCTTCGAGGGCCGGTGGCTTTTCTTGGATACCTGGAAGCTGACCTTTTCTTGACTTTACATCCGGTTCCTTAGGCTTGTTTCGGGTTTGGGGGTTGCCAAGGAACCCACGAAGAGTCAGTCACTTGTGGCAGGGGATCTTGAAAGGCCCTGGAGATTGTTTGAGCCATGGCCCCATCGGAGGAAAGGGGGATGACTCTTGCTTACTGGCTGTTTTTTGTGCAACTGGAGGCACAGCAGAGTTTCTGGTTTTGGGGCCGCTCCGCATGCCAAGGATGCTTTGTCTTCCATGAAAAGGGTCGAGTCAAGGCCTCTGGAACAAACTGGGGCTGCTGAATCCTTTTGGACAAAGTTCAAGTCGTCAAGCTAGCGGTATTCGTCCGAGGTCGGGTCTTTCCTTGCGATATGACGGGTTGTTTGCTGATTCGCATTGAATCAAACAGTCATTCTTGCTAGTCAAACCGGGTCTCTGAAGAGAACCACTCACCAATTGGCAGACTATGGCATGGCGAACGTAAACCATGCGATTTCAATCTGCGAGATATTCCAATATTCCAAGTACTTCCACCTGAAACCGCCAAAGAAAGGCAGAAAATAATGACCTCAACTTGGACCTTCGAGTCCTCTCTTGACTGCAATCAGTCTACTGTGTGGGTCTTTTCGGGACGCCTCTCCCCCCTTTTGGGGGTGGTTCAAGGGAAACCAAAAGGACAACGCCCCACTTTCGGGGTCTCATTTTGAGACACACCCTAGGCCCACTCATGTGGCTGTGGGTCAAAACCAATGGTACCATTTTGGGGTGGGTGCACCACCCATTTTAGTCTATTTTAGTGGGGATTGTACGGGATTTTGACCCATGGCCATGAGTCCCGTCTGAATGATTATTCCTGTGAGCATACTACACTTGCCAGTTTCTCCAAAAGGTATTGGGACAGCAAACACAAGACACGGTGGATGCCAAGTCAATGCAAGTAAACCAACCATACTCAACCACGAAACCATGGTAACATAGGAGGTTTCCTTGTTTCCCCTCTTGCAACAAGGGCATCCACCGAAACATGAGCACCTGGTACTGGATTGTTGTCCTGGTGCCACAAGCCCGCAGGACTTCTTGGTGTTTTGTCTTGTAGCAAACACCAAGAACTCCATTCCATTTTTCCAAACTTACAAGAACATGCAGTACTTACTTTGTCTGAGGTCAATCAAACATATTTCATCCAGCATCCCCCCCCGCCAAGAGCTGCTTTTTTGGAAAGCACAAGGGAATTTTGGACATGGGAAAACCAGCCGGCGCCGGACGTTGACTTATTTGAGGGCAGCATCTCCCACGAAGCTGAAGCATACCACCCCCAAACTGAAGGCAAGCTGCCGCTCAAGTGAGAGAGTAAGCCGACACAGGGCAAGGGGACATGCCATTCTTTGCTTGAGAATATGTGGTGTCGTGTATGTGTGTATGTATATATATATATACATATCATCATAAATCTATATATATATATACATATACATATGTGGTTGGGGTTTTCATGATTTGGAGAATGTCACTTGATCACTGAGGCAAAACGGCTGCGGCCGTGTGTTGGCGTGGCGCATGCACAGGTTTGAGAACAGCAGCACAGCAAGTATGCATTTGCATTGCAGGTATTTGCAATGCTTTCATGCTTTTCTCTCAGAGGGTCCGAACCGTAACCAGGGCGTCGAATCTTTATGAAGCAGTTTCAGCTAACTCCTCCATTCCGTAGATTTGGAAGAACCCCCTCACACCCTTTCGGCCATTGGCCACATTCAGTTGCAGATGTGCCGATGGTTCATGGAATGGCATTCCGAGAACTCCGCCACACGAGGTTGTTCCAACAATAGTTGGCTTAAACATATACGATCAATTGGCTGCATCGCTCCGCGAACGTGTCAGGCTCCGGTGGAAGATGCCTGAGGACAAGCGGAATCGGATTCGCACATGGACTCATGAGTCACTGACAAAACAAAACTCGGTCAGGTGTCAACTAATTCTTCCGGATCCCTCCTCATTTGGACATTGACAAGTTCCAATCCTGTCCCTGGTTGCAAATCTTGCGTTTCTCGCGAGAGAACATCCGGAACTGTATGTGGTTGGATGGCCTCCCCCGTTTAAAGCATAATTGATCAGAGAGTACTTTGAAAGGAACACACTCAGTCCACGGTACTCCAAAATCTCCAGTTCGCTTTTTGCTTCCTTAATAGGAGTCCAGAAGTCAAGGCAAGCCGCTTGCCCCAAAGCAATCCTGATCCAAGAGCAAAGAACTCCAACGTCAGGTGAGGCGCCAGGCATGGACTGAGCCTTGTCTATGGGGCAGCAAGGGAGCTATAGAATGTGTGAGAAAGCCCAACAGCTAGTTCCGGACATTGGCTGGAACCCTTCCATGGAACCGCTCCAAATCTATTTGGGCAGAGACCCCAAGGCTTTCTCAGCTGTTGGGGCATTCACATGGATCCCCCCCAAAAAAACACACACACAAAAAACAGCACACTTTTGGATCCGGGGGGTGGCCTTTTCGATGTTAATTGGTTGGTAACCCAAGTACAGGTGCGAAGATTTCCCAGGCCTGTGGTAAGTGCCGGTGGCCATGCGCGGGGCAGAGGCCCTCCCGACACAAACAGAGAATCCCGGCTTTCCTCCAACGGAAGTGTTGCTTGGTTCGGGAGGGAGGCTCGGCCTTTGGTCTTCCATAAGGTCGCCTCGCCCACGTGTCGGAGACTCAGACCTTTCGGGTTTTCTCGTGAAGCCGACAGGACAACGTGCTGCTGCAAAGCTGCGAGGAGGGGGGCTGTGTGAAGCTCGAACACGGCAGCGAAGCCCACGTTGCCGTGGAACCTGACGACTCAGGGGTCCGGGGGTTTGGGAGATTTACCCGAAAGACGGGGACCCTTTGGTGGGGTCCATGTGAACCTGCAGCTGTTCGCACATCCTTTGCTGCTGTTCATGAGTGATTGTTGTGAAAGGTCTTCTTGTATCTGATGTTTGACACAGTCCAGATCGGATTGTAAAACAGGGGTCTTAGGCACGCTGCTTTCCGCCCACATGGCCAGCCCCACCCTTCTCCACCCCCAACCCACCACACCCCATCCCTGCACCCCCAAACCCCCCGCCCCTCCCACCCCTTGACCACCCCCCCCTCCCCCCCGCCCCCCCCACTTCCTACCCACCCGCTGCGGCCTCGACGCCTCAGCGGCCTTCCAGGAGGTGCTGAGCTGCGAGGACTGCGCGACCGTGGACTCCTGGCACTGGGCGGCCCTCGAGGAGCTGGGCCTTCCGGCGCTGCAGGCGAGAGAAGTTCTAACACGGAGCTGGCTGGGAAGGGGGTTGCGGGGGGAAGGGTGGGGGGAACGGTGGGGGAACAGAGGTGTGGTGGAGAGGATGAGGGGGGGGGGGATGGTGTTGGGGGGATGGGGGGAGAGGGTGGAGGGGGGGGGGGTATTTGGGGACTGGGCTAGGATAAATGTTATATGTCCCCCCTTGGTTTTTACAGGTAATCGATTTCGCTACTGGGACATATCGTCTCATTTTTTCCACGGGACGGGGAGTTTTCGGAGCAGCCAAGCGCTTTTCGGGCTGAGGCTTGGGGTTGGTCAGGATCGGAAAGAGCCCAGAAGCCCCACAAACCCGGCAGAGGCTCCGAAAAGGGAGAAAAAAACCCAACACCTTCCTCACTTCCGGAGTTCCGGGACTTTCACCACTTTTGGGAGCACCATTTTAGTGGCAGCCAGCAAGTTCGGTCGCTTTTTGTGGCCCATCCACGGAAGGGAGAGTGTGAGGTTGCTTTGAAGGCGACCGAAGTCGGAGCGCATCCGTCCAGTTGCGGGCCTTGGACTTTTCCACGCGTCAAAGAGAACTCGAGCCAAGGGAGGGGGGGTGGCCAGGGTGGGCAAAGGCCACCGCCAAGGGGAAGGTTCTGGTTGACCTGGGAGGCCTTTTCGGCTTGGGTTTCTGGAAGCCCACCGGGACCCACCCGTTTTAGGGTCCGAAGGTGGGTCATCCCAGAGGCGAAGCTCGCGCGGGCTGTGCTCAGAAAGCAGAACAAGTGTTCGAGGGGATCCCTTTGCGGAGTCCAAAGGGGGCCATCGTTGAGTCAGGTTCCAACAGGCGCGCAGCACTTTTGCGGATGGAAAGCGAAAGTGGGGCTCGAAATCATGGTAGCGCCCATCTTACATGTCAGATCTCGGATGTCAAAAAGTTTCCTTCTGACATGCTCACAGGGAACTTGAAGTGGTCGGACCCCCAGGCTGTGGCTAACTTGGCCCCTAAGACTTTGTTCAAGTTAAATTCTGGTCCACAACCAGGGGTCGCTTCCAAAGGAAGGTGGTCTTCCAGGACCGTTCCTGTGAGGCCAACGTGGTGCACCTTTTGTTAAGAGGACAGTCTTCCAAAAAGGGTCTGTGCGCTTCCACGTTACTTGGTAGGAGGGAACCCGAACACTTGGCATGCGCCAGGCCTGCATGAAGGAGGAGACCAGCGCGTGCCCCGCCGAACCTGCAAAGGGAATCTACAATGGGGGTGTGGCTCAAAATTAAACAGGAGGGGTCACGCAGGTGTTGGTCCATGTTTCCACTCACCAGGGTTCCATTTTGGTACCGGTTTTTTGAGCCACAGCCAAATTTGAGACCTCCATGCTTACGAATGTCCATGGCGGTACACCCCCAAGAAGGCAATCAAGGTGCAGCAATGCTGCGGGTCAAGACAGGTCTTTCAGGCCGAAACGGCAGGCACCGTGCAAGCAACCCATACTGTGGATGGTTGTGAAACCCATTTCGTGCCGCTTTCATGCTTTTCTTGAGTCGCGGAGAATCTGAGAAGCAGGGAGCGGGGGGGGGGGAAGGGGTCGTATGCATTGCAGAAGGGGCCTCGAAGAAACCAGCTCTGGGGAGCTCTTGCTCGCCCAAACCCAGGTATTTGGTGGATAGTGTTGACCACGCATCAAGAAACCCGTGCAAAAAACAGGTGGTTCCCTCAAGTGATAAACCCCCTGACGTTTGGGGACACCCTATCTACCAGGGGTTTGCTGAACCCATGCGGTAGCAGCCACTAACCAGGCTTTACGAATCCGGGAATGGTTCCCGGACTCACACGCTTCGGGTGCCTGGACCTTGAAAAACTAGCGGAGGGGGTCCCGAGACATGGGTGTGGCTCAAGATGAAAGAGCTAGGGCAAACCCCAGGTTGTAGTCTTTGGTTCCATTTATCAAGGTTCCATTTTGGATAAACCACCTACCGGTGCGAGGTGGATTTTATCCACAGCATGGAGGTTCCTGTTTGGGAGTTACCGTCCTCAGATAAATCGCAAGGCTCCAGCGTCAATACCTGTCTGCATGCGGTGCAGGTACACTTATTTCACCGAAGACAATTTGCCAAGCGAAAGCTATCCTGGCCTGAATACACTCGTTTGCGTGCATCAGGCTGGGATGTGTGGGAAAGAGCGCGCTTGGTTTCAAACCACGCTTTGGATGTGCTTGAATGTGTGTCTGAAGTTTTTGCACATGTGCGGGCTGCGTTTCTCTCCGACAGGGAGTAAGGTTTTGCTTTGGTGAAAGGCAACCGCCTGAGTGTGAGTCGAAACTCGTATGCCTTGACATTGCATCGCCTGTCTTAGCCTCATTCAGGGAGTTTATTTGAAACCCCCAGACCCCATTTGGGCCTGTCGACCCCACAGCATTCAGCTGAAAAATAGAAGAGAGGCTAGCTTTTGGAGAGAGCCAGAGAAGCTCAGAGGGAAACCCGTGTTCTGAGTCCCAAGACCTGCCTTTCTTCACGTTGAGAGAGAGAGAGAGAGTGAGGGAGAGAGATGCAGAAAGATAAAGAGCGATAGGATAGGATAGGATAGGCTAGGATACAGAGAGCTAATAGACGAGTAAGCTGGATAAAATGATGGATGGATGAATAGAGAGAGAGAGACAGGGAGAGGGAAAGAGAGAGAAAGAGAGCGAGAGAGCTCTATGCCCACCAAAGAATCGCCGGCTTTCTGCCAGCGCGCAGGTGACTCTTAGGGTCACAGACCCAGGCCAAGCAAAGGCGGGGCCGCGCGGGTGATTTTGCGTTTTTGCTCAAAAGTTGGAAGCAGCGGGTGTGCGTCAAAGCCAAAGCGGTCAACTAGTTTTCACGCAACAACAACAACAAATGCCGGCGGCGATGTTTTTTGGGAACCGCAACTCTTGGTTGGCTGTTAAAGGGACGCACACACACAAAAATCAACACCTTGGGAATCACGCCGTTTGAGAAAAGCCCACCTTGATGTGGGAGTTGTTCAAAGTAGGACTACGGCAGTGGCTCCAAAAAATGGAGCCCAAAATGGCACCTTGGTAAATGGAACCGAAGACTATCACCTGCGCAACCCTAGTCGCTTACTTTTGAGCCGCGCCCATATCAGCCCTGTGTATGGATTATCAAGGGAAAGTAACATCCAGGCGCCCTGAAGGAAGTGGTCCAGAGGCTTTCTTGGCGCTTCACAGCGGTTAGGAGGTTGGAGCGCCGGTGATTCGGTAGGGTGCAGCACGTGAGTCTCTCCTCCTCCTCGTCCTCCTCGTCCTCGTCTTCCTCCTCCTCCTCCTCCTCCTCCTCCTCCTCCTCCTCCTCCTCCTCCTCCTCCTCCTCCTCCTCCTCCTCTTCTCTCTCCCTCTCTCTATCTTCTCTCTCCCTCTCTCTTTCTTTGTGTGTATCTTTCTCTTTATCTTTCTCTTTGCCTGCTCGGGGGTGTTTTGAAGAGTTCATTACCGCTTGTTCGAGCTCTAAAACGGCAAACGCTTGCAATTCTACCTGCTAGCAGCAAGATGTGCTAGCAGCAAGATTGGATGGGACTCTTTGATAAAGCTCCTAAGAACCACCCAACGGAATTCCTGAGTCGGCAAAGATGTCACTCGAATCTCCGGGACCCACTGCCGACCCGGCCAACTCGGATTGGGGTTGCCGACCCAAAACGCGATCCGGATATGGGCAAATCGCGCCCCTCGGGGTCTCATTTTTTTTTAAAAAAAAATAAAATAAAAAATCTAGGTGTGTGTTTTGCTTTCAAGGTTGGACTTCCCCAAAAATGGCCTTTGGGTTCCCCTCCAAATACCCCCTTGTGTTAGGGGTATTTTTTGGAGAACCGATCGGTTTTCCACGGTAAATACCAATCCCTTGTTTCGTAAAGGGTCGACAACATACTAACCAAAACACTTTGGGTACACATGGGAACATCCCTCCCAACTCGATCGGCTCCGATAGGTGGCGACCATTGGCCTGCCCTTTGGACAGGAGACCATTGATTTTGCGGTTCTCAAAACGAACCAGGGGCTAGGGTTGGGAACACTTTTCGTGGAAGGAAGGGTTCCAGCAAAAGTAAGTGATGTTCCTGGATCAAAGCTCCAAAAGTGTTGTTCCCTCCAAAAGTGACCACTAAAAGGAGACACACCCAGATCAAAATCAGCCAGGAATGAATATGAATCTGGGGTCAACATTATTCTGACTTCCATATTGCTCTGCAGGGGTGTACGGCGTATCAAATCCAGTGGGCCTTTTGGGATGATTGCCTCAGGGCAGCCAAGGTGCAGCCAATCGTGTGGAGAGCAGCCCAGTTTTGGAACACGCACATGAACGCACAGCGCAGGTTTGGTCATTCAGACCACCCATGTTCAAGGGTACCCCCTACCCAAATGCCCACTTGTTTTAATGTTTAAAAAAGGGTGTCCAGGTAAATACCTCCTTTTTTGAGTAGAAGGTCGACATCATACCCTAGTTAGTTTGAGGGTGTGTAACGACTGAGCTCAAATCGAAGTGGTGCGGCTACAAAAGTGCAACATGGGAAACTCATCTCTGGTTGGCCGACTTCTTCGAACCCATGTGTGGACTTCTGTGCTTAGTGGTTGCCTGAATGTAGTAAAAGGAATGGGTGTGGCAACAGAGTGGAAGTAATACCCCCTACCCCCAGTACCCGCTTTTTTTGTTGGGGTATGATGTCGACCCTCCACTAGATCATGGCAAACCAGGTTTTTATAAACATATCAAGAGGGTGCTTGGAGTAGGGGGTAGCCTTCAAGATACATGTTTTTTTTCTCCCCCTTTTGGGGGGGTGGGCCAGTGGGGTACCCTTCCTCTTTTTTTTGCAAAGCAGCCACATCCTACCAGTACCCGGGTCGCTCGAAGGCCTTCGAGTGACGCCTTCTGAAGGGTGTAGTTTGGTTCGGATCACTTCTCGCTTTCCGTGTGCTTTTTTGGGCACAAATCAACTTACTCGGAAGGAGCCCCTTTGGGGGTTTTTTGCACCCAGGAGATTCCGATCCTACAAATGGTGATTTTTCTTGGGGGTTCCATTTGGAGAGGACACCACTGGACCCAAAGAAAGGGAAGTGAAGTGTTGATCCCTGTCCCCCTGCCGGTTCCTGGTGAGGGTCCCACTCGTTTCAACTTGCATGTCCTTTCCATCGGGTGGTTTGGGCAACAAAATAGATGGATGGTTTAGAGGCCGGTGTTTTGCCATCCATAGCAAAACCCAGCGATTGCCCTTGACGCCTCTTGCAACGGGGGGTTTGGCTCAACCCTTCCCCAAGGAAGGCGAAAGGAAGGCGTTGCTCGCCGCTCACGGGTCCGCAAATCCGCGAAGCGGCGAAGCGGAACTGCGCGCAGGAGTTTGCCACGGCCGACGCGGAGTTCGACTTGGAGAGGCCTCAAGCAACCTGATTCGACTCCATGGATGTGTTTGTGTGTGTGTTTGTTCCCAAGCCGGTAGATCCATGCAAACCTGGTTTTGCAGGTAACCAAAAACCTTGCCACCCTTTAAGAACCACAAGGAAAATACCAGGGTTACCTTTACTATATGGGCTTGCAACTGGGATTGTTTTTCTCTCGATCCACACGCGTTTGGAAAGAGTGTCATACTCCCCCGCTTAGCATGGAACCGGAAAAGCCATGAATTGTACTGGAAACCCATTTATGGGATCCCCTTGAATTCCCTCCGCTAATTTGTAGAGTAAATTTGAAGAGCCAACAGTCGACCGTTTGAGCCCTCGCTTGCCTGTATCCCTTTTGGCGGGAAGATCAAGAGCCTGGCAAACAATCCGAGAAACCGGTTCGGCTGAGTCCCACAAGATGTACCTTGTAACAAACAGACGCAACATGTGGCTACGATGTCCTGGCAGACTTCCGTTGGAGGTTTCTACGGGAAAGCTCGCTTTTGCCTTATGGGTTGAGGGTACTGTAAGGTTGGTTGAAAGGGACACCCAAAAGGAAAACCACCGTTTTGTTTGCATTTGGTGTCTATGTTGACATATGCCATCATATGCCTATGTCCTCCGTTTCCCTTGCTTCCCGCTCAGAAGAGGCTTCTGGAAAAATGTTTGGGGGTGTCTTTTCCCTGTGCTTTTGGCAGGTTTCACTGCAAAGACCAGATGCTCATCGGCGGAGCACTCGGCTTTTGCGGCCGACATGTTCATGGCCGACCAACCAAGTGGCTTCCACACAAACCCCCTGGCCCGGTGAATTCAGGCTGACGAGTCATGAGGAGCTCCTTGCAAAGAGGAACTCCTCGGAACTCAATCACCCATGCGGAATTGAATCTAGTGGTTTTTTTTTTACCAACAGGGCTGGTTGGCCACAGCGCCGATGCGAGAATTTAGACGGATAAGGATACAGAAGCCGATGCCAGTCCAGGATCCCAGCTGCAAGCCCTAGGAAAGGTCTCCCTTCGCTCCTTTCCTTTTGGCTTTTTGTGTTCAGGTTTGCCTTTTGATCCACTGGGAATCATCCCTTCTCTCACTCTTTGCCTTCCGCAGGATTAACAGAAACTGTTTCGGATGTTTCCTATCCTGACCCCCTACTGCATTTGCAGAGCTTGGGGGTTCCTCTGGTTTTCCCTTTACCATTAAGCGGGCTTTACACTTTCCAACCTTGCAACCCTCACAACCCCCCCCCCCTCCCCAATGGCACTGGCTGTGGTTTTGTTCTGATCAAACAATCGGTGCCATCCACTTTTCCAAACACTCAGGACCAGCGTTCATCGGGTGTCGTTTTCCAGGGGACGCTTCTTGGGTGGTTTTGAAGGGAACCCGCAAGTTGAAAGCGCTCATTTGCGGTCCAATTCCTACTTTGACTTGGTGGTTCCCAGCCATCTGGTTCCAGAAAGTTGTTTTTAGTTGTTGTTGCTTGGAACTCCGAATTTAACCCACAAGTCTTGGTGGCTCCCAGCCATCCCCTTAGCTTTTTAGCTTTTTAGCTTTTTAGCTTTCTAGCTTTTCAGCTTTTTAGTGTTTAGTGGTAATTTCCAATCAACCCACTAAAATGAAGCTTGTAGCGGGGGATCTGAGGGCAGCCCAGAAGTTCTTTTTCCCCTTTTGATCAGATCGGACGGCGCGGTTCCCAGGGTTTACTTCAGACTCCAAGGCTCTCAGCTGAATGTGTGGACCTGGGTGCCGGCATCGGACATACAGGCGACGTCGCAAAATTGGTGACGGATGGCACGTCGCGTCGCGGGCGGAGCGGGGGAAGCGACTGAATTCGGTGACCAAAAAGGGAAATTGGAGGTCTGGTTGAGATGCTTGGAAATTATCTGATTGCCCTGCGTCGCTTTGGAGCGGGCTACTGGTTTTCTGAAGGTATTTGATCGGAGCCCTGGTTCAGATGGTTAAGAAGTCTGTGGCCAAAGAAATCGGAGACCTTGGGCAACAATGGGCTGAGTGATTGAGGCGCCAAGGAAAAACAGCCCGTCATGAATGCACGTAGCCGTCGGAGTCTGGTTAAGATGGTTTGCACCACCCCGAAACCACTACTGGGCAGGGGTTTGGGCGAAACAACCACAAAAAAAGCATGGGTTATTAAAATGGACTGAATGATTGAACCTTGAGGCAAGCCCTTGTTGTTGCCAAGGAAAAACGGGACCCGTCATGAAGGCATTCATCTTTGGCTTTGGATCTTTCTTTACGGCGGATCCAGGTGTGTCTTGCAGAGCAGGCGCTTGCACTGCTTGCTTCCATTCTGCGCTTCGAGCAAAAACCCATGCGAACTTGACTTGAGGACTTCGGGGCCTAGACGTTGCGGTGCTGTGTTTAGAGTCTTTGAAATGGGGAGTCGGATTTGGGGGATTCCAGCAGAGGCATGCAGCTTTTGCGAGCTGAGAGAACGCGTAACGCGACGCCAAGAGAGAGAGAGAGAGAGAGAGAGAGAGAGCGAGAGAGAGAGAGAGAGAGAGAGAGAGAGCTGTGTTGTATCGTTGGCAAGATCTTGTCATGGAAAGTGGTGCAACAACTTGTATTCCTACCCAATTCTCAGCGGAGGGGTCTCATTCTGTGGACGCATGCCGACGAAGCCGCGAACGCCCGGCGGATTTCGCCAGGCCAACACGCTCAGGCGGGTTTCCGATGGCTTGGCAGCGGGTTTGGGGGGGGGGGGGAGAAGTTCATGCGGTTCGCGAGTTTTTTTTTTGTCGGTGTTGTCAATGGCATGCGGTTGGTGCCAGACATCCAAAACAAAAACAAACCTAGAGACAGCTCAGCAGTGCCAATAGATCGATCCAAGAAATCAGTTGATTCATTGGGGCAGCTGGGCACAATAGTTTCTTTTGCCAATGCACGTTGAAGACTTCCAGGCAAGTTCACCAGAGGAGGTTCCTGTATTTGGAAAACGCCCTCGGTGTAAGGAACTTGCATTTTAGATTGCATGGGTTTGGCACCCCATCTCCCGTCGACTTGGCTGAAACCAGCAGACGTCAAAGGTCATGAGCGGGGGGGGGGGGGGGGGTTGATCCTAGGAAGGGCCTTTCGAGTGCTTCATTGTTCTTGGCAAGTTGTTCGTTTCTTTTTTTTGGATTCTGTTCATGTTTAGTAGGGGGCCTTCAAAACACTTTGGCTGCAAAAAATAAAGTTGCTGCCACCATCGCAAGGTTGTTGTGAGTGGGAAAAAGTGGCTGGCCAGTGGCTTGCGCTGCGTTTTTTTTTTTTTTTTGATTTTGGCGCACGGCAAAGAAGGTGGTATGGGGCAAATTAAACCACCGGGATATGGACCGCAGGTATTAGTCCTGATTTCTGTTTGTCAGGCCAGCCCATTTTGTCTTTGTTCCTATTTTTGACCCACACCCAAATAGCAGCAAGCAACGATTGACTCGAATCAACTTCTCACACTCGCATTCCCGGTGGTTCTGGCGGCGCCCCAGATCCCACGAACATGAAAGTGGCTTCAAGGGGATTTGGCCTTAGCCAGTAAACATGAGCCGTCCCCGCCCTCCCTCTACCCTCCGTTGTAGGTGAAAGGAGTGTGTCAGCTTGGTCATTTGGAGGGAGATTCGTTTGGGCAAAAAGGCAACATGGTTGCAGAAGGTGCGGCGCCCAACGTGAAGGTTCCCTTCTTGAGGGTGTTTTTTTTGTTTGTTTTCTGTTGGTGGATTAATATGATTTGCACAGTTTGGTGCCATTTGGTTGGGGGTCTTTTTAGGGAACCTCCACCCCCAACACAAAAATGACAAGTCATGGTGGTGTTCCTTTTGGTTTCCCTTTTATATAAGCCGCAAAAACGGGGTACACTCAAAACGACACTCATATGTAGCGCTGTCACCAAACAATTACCGGCTTCACCCGTGATGACAATTGACCCTTTCTTGGGGATCGTTTTACTGATTACATGCAGAAACGGGTGTTTGTCTTTGTTTGAGGGTTCCCTTTTTGAGCTGTCGTGGCTTGGGAAACCCGGTGGTCCTCAGATTTGGCAACCCTCCTGACGTCACACGGGCCGCGACGAGCAATTGTTGTTTGGCACCCTTTTCCAAAACTTTCTCGCTTGACTCACATTTTGACACACAGAAGTGGATGTTTTCCCTAAGAACAGATTTCAGACATTTCGGAAATGTGGTTTGGTGGTTGGGTTGGCGGGTTGCACCGTGGAACAGTCCTAGTTTGGTGGGTATCCAATGCCAGGCAAATGCTACCAGGAATTCCGTTTGGATTTGTGCGCCGATGTTCGTTTTTTTGCGGGGTAGACTTGAACCCATAAATTTAAAACTATTTCGCCTTCTGCAGGGTAAACTAGAACAATACACACTTCTATTTGCTTCAGAATATTTTGTCTTTTCCCTTGTTGGTTTTAAGGGGACATCTATCACTACTGGACATATGCTTATTTCTTTTCCAGGGGCCAAAAACGCACATGGAAGAACATGTTTAAGTTGTTCCTTTGTTGGAACTAAGACGCCGGGATTTGAGAAGCTACTGTCTCCCAGGGCGACCATCCCAGCTCCGGCCGAGAGTCTGGCACACAGTTCGGTCGGGCCGAGCTCGAGCGAAGTCGTTCGGGGGGATTTGGGTTTGGTTGGGGGTGACTCCCAGCCATCCCATTCCGCGGCTGTTTGGCATTTTAGCTTTTGAGTGGTCGGGTTTCCGAGTTTAAGCCACAAGTTATGCATTTTCAGCAGGGGGTCAGTTTGGACAGCCCTGTTTTGTTTCGATGTGTTGGGATATTTTGCGGGAAGGCTCTTCAACAGATGATGCAATCCCGAAGGAAAGTAGGTACAAGGGGGGGATAACTGCAGTGCAAGCGTTGCCCCGTTATTTTCTTGCCTTCAAGCATCCTGGATGGAACACCCCTTGCGCTTCAGGCTCTAAGACCTTGAACATTTGCTTTCGAGTTCTTCCGCACATCCTGCTTGGACTCCCACCCTCCGCAATCCTCCAAGCCGCAATCCTTCATGTCGGGTTTGCATAGCCCGGTGCCACCCTGCAACCACAACCTTGGCTCACTCGCAGATCATGTGATTCGCTTTGCGACCCCAGCAGCAAATCTTGATCCGGGTGTGGGTCAAAATTAAACCACCAGGGACCGCAGGTTTTAGTCTTGGTTTCCATTTGCCAGGGTCCCATTTTGGGTACCTGTTTTTGACCCACACCCATCCGTAAAATCTTGACAGGCTGGCGCTACTGTTCGGGGATTGAGCTTGAAGCAGTTCTGTCGCCATCTAAGAGAATCCCAGCTAAACCAGTCCACAAGGGGACATTGTGTGATGCACGTCGCAAAGCTTGACGCTTTGCGCATGTCGAACACCAGACATCGCCCTCCGCATCTTCGCGAGAAATTCAGAAATCACAGGAGCTGAGTGCCATGAAGGATCCTCTCTTGGTTTTGGACGCCTGGCTTCAGTGAATTCCTTCACGGAAGACTCCTAATTTCCATGCAGTTTGTAATGACATCTTTTTTGCCACACACACACACATTTGTACGGTTTGCTCACTCGCTTCCTGAGTTCATGGACTTTATGCATTTTGGCATGACCATTTTAGTGGCAAACAACAAGTTTAGACTTTCCCTGGCCAATCCACTCAGTGCGTAATACCGGGGTACCAGGTTTTTTGTTGGGCGTCACTGTGTATGTGTGTGTGTGTTTTTTGAGCCACGGCCACGTGAGCGAAGCACGGAACTGCCAAGGCGAGAGCCCGGCGATGAAACGCTTGGCGCGGGCCCCCGGAAGGGTCGATGTCCCAGTCGACTTCCGGGTCACCGGGTCTCAAGTCGCCCGAAACCTTCCAAGGTTCCCCGAAACCTTCCAAGGTTCGCCCAAGTTGGGTGTGTCTTGTTGTAGGATTCGGACCCTGCCCAAAAAACGGCACGGTTTTACCTTTTGGTTTCCCTTTAAACTCACCCACGCGCCTTTTTCACGAACTCCACACTCCACCTGCTGGTTTTTGGAACTTGGGATCTTGGACGTGGGAAAAAAGCGGTCGTCAGAGAAAGGATTTCGAATTCTTTCGCCTTGAGCCCCCTCCAAGCCCACCCCCAGCCCCAACCTCCAACGCCCCCACCTCCAAGCTCCCCCGCCTCCAGCCCGGGGGTCACCCGAGGAGAACGAGCTGATGCTGCACCGGCGGGTGCCGGTGCCGGTGGTGAACTGCCTCACCAAGGCCGCTGCCAAGGATGGGGCCCGGAGTCCCGGAGTCCAAGAGGACGTCCCGCGTCTTGAAAAAGGCGGAAGGGTTTATGGCGGGTTTCTTGGCGAACGTTCGGCAGGGGACCTGAGCACAGCAACCTGCAACAGTGGCATTTTCGTTGGGACCCACTAAATTTTCGAATTGGACTTTCGGAGTCATGCAAGACTTCAGGCCTGGTATGTTTGGCACACGGTTTTTCAGCACTCTGTTGCCTAAAGAAGATCAAGGGGCGTTGGGGGGAGGGAGGGGGATGGAGCCCAAGCAAAGCCTCTTTAAGGTATTCATACCGCCTTATTTGGGCTCCCTCCTCCCCCCCCCCCGCCCGCCCCTCCCGTGAAAAGAGGCCGGCAAACAAGAGTGTTCTTTGTTTCTCCTGCCTGGTTGTGCCGAACTAAAGTTAGGCGTGGCTCAACAGTAGATCAATTGAGCTCATGGGATTTGGAGTTGATAGACTTGAACCACTCTTCCAAGGGTGTTGCTGGTGTCTCTTGCAATACAGCCCTCAATCCCTGGGAAACTTCGCGGACGCTGCGGGTCTTGGCGTGTCCTGTACCCATGTCTTGCCGCCAGAAACGTCTGGCGTCCCGTCTGAGGCGGCAAGGGCCGTTGCCGTGCAGGGCAAGTGCCGCGCTCGGACGCCGTGGTTTTTATTGGGAACCCAAACGACACCGGTTTCAACTTCAAGTTGCCCCCCTCCCAAGTACAGAACCCGCAAATGGAACTTGTGTCCACAATTTGGGCAAGCCATGACGAAATGCGGCACCGGTTCGAAGGCGGTCCCTTCCGCTAATTCAGCTTCGTCCACGACAACTCAGCGTTGGGTTTGGGACCACTAAAGCTGGCGCTCGGTGGCTGTGAATGACGTGGGTGGGGAGACCATGGCGAGTTGTTCTGCTGCAACCATGCTTTCTCACCACTTGCTCAGTTCTCTGCCCTTTTCATTCCCCCAACTTCTGGATATCTTTGCAACAAGCTTGACATGCGGATGTAAATTGGTTGTTCTGATCTGATGGCTAGCCTCCCTGAAACGATTGTATGGAAGATCAGGAACGGACCCCTTTGGAAGACTTGGTTACATTTGCCAAGGCCTTCTGGGAGCTTCCATGTTAAGTCTGAGCCGCTCTCAGCGGGCGCTGGTTTCGCCCACGCCACGTCAGGAAGGGCGCGCCCAACCCGCACCTGCGCCGTATCCTGCAATCCAAGCGCCCGGGCCCCGCAGTCAGATGGGTACGGGTCCGGTTCAACTGGGTCAAACCGCAGTCAGTGGCGGTCGCATTTTGAGGGGTTCTCGGAAATTCCTCTGGGACGAAAGGCGGGACCCCCCAACCGTGGGGGTAGTTCTTGTATGTGGCTTTAATGGACCCATGACCGTGGTCTTGGCACAGGTGGTTAATGTTGACCCCCATGTTAATCAACCCAAGCAAAAAAAACACAGGGGGTGTTCAACTGGGTTTCGTGGGAAATCAGACCGCTTTTGGAGGGCCCCCGACCGTGCCCCCACCTCCCTATTAATAAACTCCACTACAGGGTCAACATTAGTCTAGCATGGAACCTGCCAGAGGATCCCTGTAAAAGGAAAGTTGTCTCCAGGCGCCGAATGCGAGGTTCCATGTTTGAGGGAGGGTTGCCCCGCCGTATTTTCTCGGGGAGCCAAAAGGACGCCGCCCATTTGGAGGGTTCCATAGCCTATGTTCAAACCCACCAAGGTTGGGCTAGGCTTCTGAGCCAGGTCCCATGAACTGAACCAAATGGCAGCATCATTTCAGGACTCAGCCCGGTGGATTGGAGCCCCTGGGAAGCTTGGTGGTTTCAATCGGTGGCTTGTTGTTTCCGTGTTCCTTTGAATGGGGTTGTGGTACCAAAGGTCCAGCCGCCAAGGGGTAAGGTGTAAGCTGTTTGTGACTGTGTGACTCTGTGTCTTGAGGCTTCATGTTTTTTGTTTTTCTTTTGTACCCATAGGCCCCCTCGTGTTGTTTGTGGTCCAAGTCCTTATTTGACACACACACACACACATGTTAGGTGTCCTTTTTACATTAGGATGGCACTGGTTTCAGTTTGGTTCTAATCGTTTACCAGTGCCATCTGACACATGCATTTTGGTGATTAAACATTTGGCGAATTGAGCTATGTGGGGAGTTCGCAGTTCTCCGGCGCTCAGGAACGGATTGGACCACGGTGAGGCGCGAGAGCGGAATCTGAATCCCTGATCTGTGCGACCTCTGGACCTTCCTTCAGTGTCCTTTTTTCCTTTTGGAGGGGACATCCCTTTAAAATCAACTACAAACAAGGCTGCTCCCTTTCTCCCCCGAATTTGAGGTAGAGTTCCTCAAACACACATGGCCCGGCCATGTTTTTCATGCGCAGCTCAAAAAATCCTCAAGCTGTGTGATTTCCGGGTTGGATTCCCCTTCAGAACGGAAGGAGTCAGGGAAGACCCTGAACCAGCCGACGGACGGATCAATTTGGGAGGCAATCTTAGAACCTTCCCGGGTGCGAAGGTTCCCCAGTTTCCCACCAGGCATTTTTGATTGGGATTGGTCAGCCCTCGATTTTGAGCAGCCCAGTCTATACCGACATTCTTTGCCCAGTGGATCTCCACAGCCACAGCAACAAGGATCCGCCTTGGTAAGACATCAACGCTCGGCCAAAGGTGCTTGGAGGCTTGGCCACTTGCAAAGTTCAGGTTTTGTACCAAACTTGTTGATGTTCCACCATGACTCGCAGTCATTATGACTTTTATTTCAGGCTTGCTATTTTGGCATTGGCAACCCCGACTGCACGCGTTGCCGCCACGAATGGTTGCCCCATTTGCATGCTCAACTAACAGATGCCTGGGGCCAAACGCCGAGGCTATTGCCTCTGCTTTTTTTTTCCCCCCAAAGGCGTTGATGTGCTCACTTTTTTGAGGACCCCCCAAAAGAGTGCTGGGTTTGCTTTTGACTTCCCATTCAAACCGCCAAACAGACCCTGTCCCGGCAGGAAGATGGCTCGAAGCTTGCTTGACCCGAACTACTCCCTAAGCGAGTTCTACGAGGACCGTGTGGATGTGTGTGATCTTTCTATTGGCTTAGGAAACCTTAGCTGTCTATGAACTTGGTGATTCCCAGCCGTCCCCTTAGGTTTTTAGGGTTTAGTGGGGGTTTCCTTAAACTTTTGGCAGAGAACCTGAGGACAGCCCGGTATTAGGACACGAGATGTGCTTCTCCAAGTGATGGACAACGTTTCCCGACCTTTCCTCGACGCGCTCAGGGAGAGCTTATGGACATGTTGTCAGCAACCCTAATCAGAATCCACTTTTGTCTATATAGAAATGGCTCAAACATGTGTGTGTGTGTGTGGGTGTTTGGAAGGTAGCCTTCTCAGCTAGGTTTGAAGCGAAAGGAAAAGGTAAACCGTCATTCTACCTACCCAAGTGGGTGGTAGCCCAACGGCTGTGGCTCAACAAATGTACCAAAATGGCAGCTTGGTAAATGGAAGCAGAGACTAATACCTGGAGACTAATACCTGCGGTTTGCCCCTAGATCATGGCAATAGGCTTCTGAAGTAGATTCGAGTGGGATGGGTGCCCGAGCTGAGATGTGTGCATTGTTAGGCTTAGGCAGGCAACATTATTATGCAAAAATATGGACAATGCATGCGTGTAAATATACAACTTACTTCCATATGTAACCCTTTCTTTCCCCTATTGATATATGCACCGTATTTGTAGCTATTAGTTTTGCCAGACTCCAAATTTCCCAATATCAAATAGAATTACCCAATACTACACCAATTCTAAACCAGCAAATCTCCCGCCGAGCACAGCTGCAGTCATATCAGGGAAGATTTTAGCGCCAATGCTAGACCAACACAAAACCACCACTAGGCCAATACTAAACCAACACTCAAACCAAGACTAAACCAATGTTTAAAGCAATTCCAAAAATATCGTGATTTCTGCTATTTAGAATCCTTAGTCGGAAGTTGCAAATTTGCATGGTGTTTGGGCCCGGAAAGGGCGGCCCCCCATTACGAGGCAGAACTGCTATTTGGTCCCGACCCTATGTGTATTGCTCGGCCAGGCGAATATATCTATTGGGGAGTGGGGATGGGGTTGCGGGTGGGATCGTAGTTAGTATTACGGGATTGGATTACAAGGGTTTCCCTGGTTTCATGAATGGATGCCAAACAACACATCGTGCACGTGGAGCTGATTTGGACAGCTATCGAGGAGTTTCTGCAAGAGTGTCTGGCGCATGCAGAAAGACTCGGTTTGTTGAAGGGGCTGTTTTTTGTTTTTTTTTTTGAGAGAGAACCCCTAAAATAAGTGTCCCTTGGGTTTCCCTTTAAAACAACACCAAAATGGGTACCCTCCGAAGACAGAAAAAACAACTGTTTGCAAATCTGCTTTAGCGCATCAAACAAAAAGCACAAACAAGCACTGGACATGTGTTTTTTAAAGATTCGGTGAATACACTAAATAGTGCAAGCGAACAAGAACGTAATAGTTGGTTCCTTTTGACACCCTCCAATTTGCCATTCCCACCCTCCCATCTACCATAATTACCCAGGTTTTGTTGTAATGGTCGGTTTTGCCGTATTGAGTTGGCGTCCTGGTTCGCTGTTCTCAGGACCTAACAGCATTTCCAGAGCTGTTCTTGTACCTCCGGGACGGCGCCGCCGCCTGAGCGAGCCGTTTCCGCGCTGGAAAGCGGGGCCTTGAAACGGAAAAGATGTGTGTGTGTGTGGTTCGGATCTGTTCTTCCATTTGCTTAAGAATTTCAGTGGATCCATTTTTTATTTGCCTGGTTTGGTAGGTAAACCAAGGGCTTGCCAATAGCTGCTTACCTAGTGTATGGGTTTGTCCAGGATTTACTGGGAACATTTGTTATGTTTTTGTTTTTTAAAGGCAACCCTTGGTAGGTGGTTTGGATTGGTGGTCGCCGCGACCCGCCAACAAAAGGCCCGATGTTTTTTTTGTCTTCTTTTTTCGGAGTGCCGTTGGCTTCAGAAGATCTTCCGTCCACTGACAGGGAAAGCCCTTAAGTGGTGGTTTGAGTTCGTTTGGGGATTTGTGAATGGTTCTTGTCCGGACCACCAAACCAATCCAAACCACCAGCGGATTGGAAGCCTCGCACATCTCGTGGGAGTGTTTGAAAAGCCCCCACCCCGTATGGCTGTTTGCTTGTTTATTTTCTTTCCGGTCAAACTCCCGTATTTGGCCGTATTTGCCCGTATGGCCATAATTTGTTGGTCATTTGCGTAAATCACCCGTATGAAACTCATATTTGTTCGACATGTTGTTGAAAAAACACACACACACACACACACACACACACACACACACACACACACACACACACACACACACACACACACACACACACACACACACACACACACACACACACACACACACACACACACACACACACACACACACACACACACACACACACACACACACACACACACACACACACACACACACACACACACACACACACACACAACACACACACACACACACACACACACACACACACACACACACACACACACACACACACACACACACACACACACACACAACACACACACACACACAAACACACACACACACAACACACACACACACACACACACACACACACACACACACACACACACACACACACACACACACACACACACACACACACACACACACACACACACACACACCACACACACACACACACACACACACACACACACACACCACACACACACACACACACACACACACACACACACACACACACACACACACACACACACACACACACACACACACACACACACACACACACACACACACACACACACACACACACACACACACACACACACACACACACACACACACACACACACACACATCCGTATGGCCTTTTTTTTCTCCTTGGTCAAAGGCGCATGACCCTAAAAAACGGCCATATCGGGTCCCAGGCCGTTTGTAAAGTAGTGCCCTGGCCCCAATCAATATGACTTGGTGTATCAGGTTTGTGTTTGGCAACTTGAATGGAGCATTAGTTTCCTGCGCCAGGAAGGTGGATGTTCACTTGCCCAATGGAGATGGTTGCTCCATAGCAGTCTCTACGGAGAAGCCCATCGAGCTGCAGGCTGCAGCGCAACAGCATTTCCACCGCCGCGTATTTGACGGCTACGCTGAGTCAGGTCGGGCTGCGAGATGGGGATGTGGTCTATGCCGTTGTGCAGCTTGGCAAACTGGCTGCCACCAATCAAGCATTCGCTTGGCATGGCCACGTGGACAAGGTTGTGACCTGGGGTAGTAAAGATGGTGGCGGAGACAGCAGCCAGGTCCAGGAGCAGCTGAGAAATGTCCAGCACGTCCAAGCAACTGCCGAGGGTGGTTTTGCTGCCATTCTTGAATCTGGGGTTGTTGTGACCTGGGGTCCTCCAGAATTCGGTGGAGACAGCAGCCAAATGCAACAACAGCTGAGGAACGTCCAGTGCATCCAAGCAACTGATCGTGCTTTTGCTGCCGTTCTTGAATCTGGGGCTGTTGTGACCTGGGGTAATCCAGACGATGGCGGAGACGGCAGCCAGGTGCAAGAGCAGCTGACGAACGTTCAGCACGTCCAAGCAACTGCTCAGGGTGCTTTTGCTGCCATTCTTGAGTCTGAGGCTGTTGTGACCTGGGGTGATCCAGAAGCCGGTGGAGACAGCAGCCAGGTGCAAGAGCAGCTGAGGAACGTCCAGCATGTCCAATCAACTGCTAGTCCATTTGGTGGTGCATGCGCTGCTATTCTTGAATCTGGGGCTGTTGTGACCTGGGGTCCTCCAGAATTCGGTGGAGACAGCAGCCGCGTGCAAGAATAGCTGTGGAACGTCCAGCATATCCAAGCAACTGCTAGTCCATTTGGTGGTGCATTCGCTGCCATTCTTGACCTGGGGTCCTCCAGAATTTGGTGGAAACAGCAGCCAGGTGCAAGAACAGCTAAAAAACGTCCAGTTCATCCAAGCAACTGATCGTGCTTTGCTGCCATTCTTGAATTTGGGGCTGTTGTGACCTGGGGTGATAAAGAACGCGAGGCGGAGACAGCAGCCTGGTGCAAGAGGAGCTGAGAAATGTCCAGCGCATCCAAGCAACTGGTACTGCTTTTGCTGCCATTCTTGAATCTGGGGCTGTTGTGACCTGGGGTGATCCGCGCTATGGCGGAGACAGCAGCCAGGTGCAAGAGGAGCTGAGGAATGTCCAGTGCATTCAAGCAACTTATGGTGCTTTTGCTGCCATTCTTGAATCTGGGGCTGTTGTGACCTGGGGCGATCCAGAATTCGGCAGAGACATCAGCCAGGTGCAAGATCAGCTTGTAGTTTGCTGATGTCGTTACATGTAATTCGGCGCAGATCTGATTTTTGAGGGTAAATGGGGTTGACCACCCCATTTCACCAGCAAACCACTGGGCTCCAAACCCCCCAAAAAGCAAGGGAAGCTGAGTTTTTAGGTTTAGTGGGGGTTTCCATGGAACTCACAAGTTTTCAACTCAGCCCAGTTTGTTCTCCGCCACTTTTTTGGGTGGCTCGAAAACCGTACGGGCATTCCCTAAAAGCAGACCGTTGCCATTTTGGGGCTTCCGAATCCGAACCCAAATGCCCGAAGGTTTGCAAATCCTTCCATTTGCTTATTTTTCCCCTCAGTTGGTTTACAGGGAATCGCTCAATTTACAGGCATTTCCCATTTCCATTTGCAGTTTCGTGCAGGTCCACTGGGAACCCTTCAACTCCTTGCCATGCTTTGTGGTTGACATTTGCTCCTGAATACAGCCTGTCCATTTCGCCATCCCAACATGCAATGGTTTTACTTTTGGGTCTTTCCCAAAAGTAATTAGTCGTCGCCTCAATAAAGACGAGCTGCCCATGTTGCTTTAAAAAAAAGCGAGCGACCGCAGCGATCGCCTCTTCGAGGTCCTCGAGACCGGATCGGGAAGGACCACTGATGACGAGTGCGCGTGGCACGGTTCTTTTCGGTTTTGACGCGGGGGCAGTGTTCAAAGGAATCGGACCGCGAATTGTGGGCTTCGGTTTCCGGTTGAGTTGCCGTTAAAGCCACCCCACAAAGGATTCCCTCAAAAAAGGACGCCCTGATGGGGTCAAAAGGCCCTCTTTTTTCGGCTTTGTACCGTTTTTTTCTGGATCAAAGGCAAAAAAGGGGGGTTGGGGGGTCCAGGTACTTGGATGTTCGATTCGCCAAGTGAGTAATTGGGGATAGCCACTTGGGTTTTTTCACCCCCTGATAGCAAGGTTATCCCCACTGAACGGGGGCCTTTCAATGGGTTATAACCTGGGTTGCCAACAACTTGCTATTTGGATTGGATCATAATGAAGCCGGTAGCTTATGCATCCAAACAAAAAGCGAACAAAAACATCCCGAACAACCAAACCGCCAGGTACCAGCGTACGGTCTGCGCCTTTTTCGCGATTTATTGGCTGATGCGCCGGCGCCTCGAAACCGCGGCTTGCGGCTGAGGTGGCGATGGTTGGGCCAATCATTACAATAGGACGGCTCCAAATACTTCAGTTTGCTGAAAATGACGGTTTCTTGATTTATGTGTTCCTTTGTTGTTTTCTATTTTTTTGGTTTGGTTTTCAACAGGAACCCATCACTACTGGCCATATTTTCATTTTCTCAAGGGGGCTTAAGCAAACGGAAGAATACCCTTTGCCTTTTTGTACTTGGTATTTTGCTTTAAATGAACAACCGATGGGCTTGTCATGGTAAATACATGTCCCCTCTTTTAGTAGAGGTTTGACATCATACCCTTCAAAAAGGTGGGTATTTGGAGTAGAAAGCCTCCCTATTTTGACACATACACATTTGTCGCGCAGCCCGATGATATCGGATTTCTAGCTATCGTTATTTCATAGTGGCGATTTGCTGAGTACCACCTGTGTTTTTTTTTTCCCCCCTTCAAAGGGGACTAGGGTGGTTCCCAACCCTGCCTGCTCGTCTGGGGCAATCTGGGTTGCGGGACCAAGAGAACACGGAAAAATCGCCGGTTCCAGTCGGCTTGCCTTTCAACCCACCGGACTTTCCTTGGAACGCCATGCGACTTGTTCCAACATCGGCCGGAGGTCCCTTTGACCTAAGTGGTTCCCTGAATCCACGTCAATTCGGGTGCCAAATTGCCCCGCACTTGCCAGAACCCTGAACTGAGATCCGTGACGTGCGGCTTGCATGCCATTGGACAGATTCTTGGGAAGATACATGGGTTTTGTTTCATCGCCCGAGGTTTGAGCGGCTTCCATTTGCGTAAGGATATTTTGATGTTCCCCTGTTTTGAAAGGGAATCTATCACTACCGGACATACCACCGGACATACCTGGTCATTTTTCCCAGTGGGCGAAAAAGCAAATGGAAGGTGGCAGGGGCCGGAAAACTCCGCAGTTTTTTGTCCTTATGAAAATGGCAAGCCCTTTTGACAGGCGCAATCGGCATTAGGCCATTGATTCGGACGATGACTCAAAGACTCAGCGCCTTCCTTCCCAATTTGGTGCAGGAAGGCTGATGTCAAAAGGTCCTGAAGCGAGCTGTTTGGAGGGTTAGATGCTTCGGTGCACTGCCGGTTTTGCGTGTGATGAAACCACTCCCCCTTATCCTTCACATATGCTGCAGTTCCACTGGTTTGGATCCCATCGAGTCGGCCATGGTCTACCACAAACAGGTGTCTTCTTCCCTGTCTCAGAGCACCAATCTTGCTTGTTCAACTTGGGGGGAAAATGGAATATCCAGAGTCCAAATGAGACAGCAGAGCAAGTTGTAATTCACTGGCATGGCCGAACTTGGTTGATTTGCAACCAAGTAACAATACCCTGCAACAATACCCTGCAACAATACCCTGCAACAATACCCTGCAACAATACCCTGCTTTTCAATTAACCAGAAAGAGCTGGCATTTGCACAACTTGGCGTTGGCCCTTCTTGCCACTGCGACGCTTTTGAGGTTCCCAAAAACGGGTCACCATTATGTCAGCCTCTCGATTCATGGTCTCCCCGTCTGTGGCACTGATCCTCATGGCCCAGGAGTCATGGGTGTCTTTGTTTTTGGCCCCCCCCCCGATTTTTGTTTAAAGGTGGTCTTGCTTTTGGTTTTCCTGTAAAACCACAAACAGTTTTGGTACCAACTCCAAACCAGCAAGCTGAAACATTGTTTCAGGGCTTCTGCTTTGCCTCTACACCCAACTTCAACTACCAACGCTTTTCTCAGTGAGTATCGTGCCGACCCACCCAAAAAGGGATTGGTATTCACTCCAACTCAAGAAAGGGCAACATTTGGAGATGACGGGGGCCGGTTCCCTCAAACTACCCTGCAAAAACGGGTGATACTGTGGATGGACGAACTCCTGCACCAAGTTAGTTGAACCACACCAAAGCACTCTTCGTTGCTATTTGCAGGGCAATCATCATTCCCGGGTTTCTTGGGTGGTGCGACATGGATTTCGTCCACAGTATTGCAACCCAACGGGGCAACTCCCATTTTTCAGAAGGAAGTCGGGGGGTCCAGGGCGGGTCTCTGCCCGTCCGCAAGCCGCGGCCGCCGGCATCCGCGCCGGCATCGAGGTCTGGACATCGACGGGCGCCAAGGCTTCAGCTTCGGCACAGACGACGACTGGAAGGCTTTGCAGGCGAGGGGGGAGGGACGCCTCGTTTTTTTTTGGGGGCCTATAGTTGCCCAGTGGCTCCCTTTTTTCATTTCTTTTTTTGGGGGTGGGGAGGATTTTTTGGGCCTGGTCTAGGTTTCCCAGTAGTGCCCTTTTTGCCGATTTCTTGTTTGGGGGAGGGTTTCCCTATTAAGATGAACTACCGGAAAAAAAGGGTACCCTGATTCTAACCTCTCTACTGGAGGACCTAGTAGTTGCCCAGTGATGCCTTTTTTCCCCTTTTTTTCTGGGAGGAGTTCCCATTTAACGTCAACCAACCACATGGCCACTGGGCATCTTTTTTGGAGGCAGGGTACACTTTTCTGTTTCTGGGCGAAACAAGGGAAACTGAAAGAAAAGCCGTGGTGCCATTCGTTGTTGTTTGGAGGCAGGGTACCCATTTTTTGGTTGTGGTCAAGGGAAACCAAAAGGAAAAGAGGTTAAGCCATTTAGATTTGGATAGACATCGATGAGTTCCGCTGGGTTTTGTGAATCATTTGCCAGTGCCATCATTTTTGTTCATATGAAGCCCTGGTATGAACCCCTAGTTTGTGGGTTAATTAACCGCTATTTATGGCTTCATGGGCAATCAGCCCCCTTTCGCGGTTCATTTGACTGAAGTGGAGGGTATGGAAGTTGGATGGATCAGTTTGACAGAATGGCCCGTCCCCACAGTACGTGGCGTGGAAAAGGTGTGTTTGAAGTTTTCCCGAAAGCAGTCTGTTGGTTCCGAAATCGCCCCCCCTTACTGCAGATAACGTGCTTGTGTTGTTGTTCAAGTTTTCCCAAGTTCGAGCAATTTGTCGGAGATATGTGCCGTCATGGTCGACAACTATGACTACTCCTGATGGTTGCAAGTGGTCACGGTGGGTTATGACAATGGTTGCCAAGTACTCTATACAACGCAATAAATAGATCGAGGGCAAGCAAGAGACGGGTGCTTAAACGGCTTCTGAGAACAACAACCGTTCATCTTAAAGGTCGTTTTTTTTTGTGTCACCAACTAGACATATGATGATATAGTATATACATAGATGTTCATACATAATTACACATGTCTCTCATATGTGTATAATATATATATATATATATATATATATACATATATATATATATATATGTATGTATAGAACGACAAAAGCACAATTCGTTTTGCAGCGTTGGCTACACTCTAATTTGGTGCTGGGTGATTCACCAGTATCCCGGTTCCAGGAGTCTGCAGTCAAAGACGGGGAGGCGCGGGCGCGGGCGCGAAGAAGGGAGGGAGTTGGGGGGGGGAAGTGTTGGTTGAGCTTACGCTTTTCCACGTTTTGAAGCACTACACTCCCTCAGATGAACAGGGAAGCTCTCAGGCGATTGTAAATGGAACCAAGTCTTAAGGGTTCCGGTTTGCCTGGAGGAGGGTAATTAGGCTTCTGTTCTCTCCGATTGACATGGAACCCACATCAGGGGTCTCCGAAATTTCGGACGCTCCAAGATGGGCTTTGGGGTTCCATGTTAAGTGATCAGGTTCTCCCTCCGCCCGACGATGGCTACGAGTTTAAGGTCTGATGTTCAATGCCCACCGCAATGCAGGGGGTGGGCTGCTCTTTCTTCACTCTTGGTTGGATGGTTAAATCTTTCCATGCCTTAAGACTTGGATGATTGCGCCGGGCTTCGAGCTGCATAGGTTCTCCCCTTGAAAGGGTTGCTCTTCTTCACAGCTGAAACAGGTGCCATCTGACACATGCGAGTGATCAGCAGCGGAGCAATCAGCAAGAGATGCCCCTAGCAGCATCCTTGCCAGAGAGATTTAACATCACAGTAGCCTTTCTTCTTGCGGGACCACGGCACTTGTTTTCTGTGTAGAACAAGCACACGTCTCGAGATCCCACCGAAAGTTTGTTGGATCGGTTCCATGCTGTGAGGAGTCTTTCACATCCGATGAAGGGTCTTTGTCAACGTACTGCTGAGGGATATGTGCTCCTTCAGAGCTCACCCTGAAGGATGGGACTGTCCTGTGCAGAAGTCCCATCCCGAGTGAGGCTTGATCTGCAGGGTCTGTCTCAAATTGAACTCCCAACGCTTGGCTTTCCCATTGATTCATCTATTGTTCCCGTTTGTTTTGTTTTTGGGGGACAAGGGAGGTGTCTTCTAATCCTTGTTCCGTGCTTTTTCAGGCAGGTCCCTGAAAAAAATGCAGCGTCAGGTGGCGATGCAAAGTGAGAGCGGCCCTACAGAATTGCAGAAGCGCAAGGGCAGCCCAAGGGATGCCAACGGGGCAGGGGGACAGCTGCCAACGGGGCAGGGGATAAACCGCTGGCCCTCCTGCTGAAGCGAGAAATGGCTGTGGCTCCAAAAAAAAACGTGTCCAAATGGCCCCTTGGTAAATGGAACCAAAGACTAAAACCTGCGTAACCCTAGCTCTTGAATTTTGAGCCACCCCCAAATAGGTGCAGCCACCAACTTGATTCTTTGCGTAGGTTTGGATACACTCCCTTCCATAATCTTAGAACTACAACAAGCTCTTTTTTTTTGAGGGTTCCAGGTTAGTACAAGCCCTTCGGGTGACCCAGGAAGTGCCAGGTTAATGAACGACCGGCTTGACTCTGCTAACGTGGAACTTGGTAGAAATCGCGGTCATTCCCGTGAGTCTCCAGGAATCCCCGACAAAATGCTGAGCGACTAACCCAGGGACGTGATGGCGGGACTTGTTTATTTGGAGGTGCTTTTTTGGGTGGGGCCCCCACACCCATTTTACCCTTACAAGTCCACGTTTGGGGCCGGGGGTGACGAATAGGAAACACAGTAGGGGGTACTCAAAAAACCAGGGGTCTAAGCTTGCATGGAACCCAGCTAGCCCCGCGGCTGGACAGGTGTTGCCCCGCCCCCGAACATACCTGCGAGCCCCCGGGTCTACGGGCAGTCTAGGTTAGCAAAAAAACATGGCATTCAGGAGGGTCTATGTTAGTGAGTGCCAGCTGCATGCACAGGACATTCCATGATTGTTTTCGTTTTGTTCCTGTGGGGTTCCAAGATTATGGGCCAGAGAGTAGACCGCTGTACCAGGTCTTGATTGTGACTCATGTGGGAGGTCGATCAAAAGGGTCTTTGCATAGGATGATGGGATGACCATGAAGCTAACAATGCGATATTTCCCACTAAATGGGAAACGTCATGTGTCGAGACTTCCTTCTCCCTCTCTCTTTGCCTCTTGTTCTTTGCCCAAATGAACGCGTTTCGGGGGTGTTTCAGGGGTACCGAAAGTGACGATCCTTTGAAATGGTACTGGAGGGGGGAAGCTGTTCGACGGTCGGCCGTTTGGACAATGAGGCTGGCTTGCTGGCTTGAGTGGCAAGCAGATTACCACATCATACAATCTTGTCATTTGCGTATCATCTTTGTAGGTTGGCACATGTTTGCTCTCCTTCGACAGTTCAGCCGGCTTTGAACTGTCGCCTTTACTGTGTGTGTATTTCCCCCCCCCCCGCCCCCAAAAAAGCACAGAAAACAAAACATGGTGGTTTTCCTCTTGATTGTCCTCTGAAGCACCAAAATAGTGGGTACCCTCCAAAAAGACCACACCGAAATGCATCTAGCTGTTTAAGCAGGAAGGACGGTTGAAACGGATGCAAGACTCCGGGTCAACTTCTAGAACTCCAAGACTTTTCATTCTTGCATTCCGTTGCGTTTTGTGAAGGGGGGCAGGGAGCCCAAATAAGGCCCCCTCCCCCTCCCTCCCCCCAGCCCCCATGCTGTTCCTTTTTGACCTTCAACAAAATCGAAGCTTTGTTGGAGCCACGGGGCTCGTTGCAAAAGAATCTCAAACAGGGTACCCCCGCCAATTAACATGGAACCTGACATTTGGGGGGACCTGGAAGACCATGTTCCTTGGTCCTGTAGGGTTCCATGTTAAATTCATGCCACAAGAATACCAAGGGTCAACACTGAGTTAGTAATGCCACAAGCCCCCACTGTAGACAAGTTCATGATTAATTGCTGGGAGGCTGTCAACAAAAAGACAGACCCAAGCCGAGCGAGGCTTGTTTCAACTGGACCGCCGCCTGGCCTTCTTTAACTCCGCTCAGCCTGGGGCCCTATCGGCGTTCGCTGTGTGGAAGCGAAAAAACATGGTTTGTACACTCCCTCAGACTAACATGGAAGCTCCCAGAAGGCCTCTGTAAATGGAACCTAGTCTTTCAAGGGGTTCCTGGAAGCTTCCATGTTAGTCTGGCGGAGGGTATGGTTTGAGGGGGGTTTGGGAAGAACAAAACCGTGCTTTGGTCGAATGCCACCACTTTTGAGGGGTTTCCCCATTGAAAATCACCAAATGGACCCTCTTTTGGATGGTTAGGCAAAAGCAAACCACGCGTGATCAGTGGCCCCCCATTTTGAGAACCGTGCTGGTGGGACGGGCTGGGATTCGCTGTCCAAAAATGGGCCCTGGGCCCTGGCGGCCCCTTTTTGCCCTGCCAAAAGAGAGCCAGTTTGACAACTCGCTCTTGCTTCCGGGGGCTTAGGGCCCCGAATGCCCCCATTTCAGTAAAATAATGTCAATCACGCAGCCGGACCCAATGTAGATGACCATCCTGAAGGGTCAACGCCTGGTGCTGAAAAATTAAACCTCGCCAATTAAGATGGAACTCTGACGTTCGGGGACAGGAAAAATTGTCTTCCAGGACCCCATTGTCAGGTTCCATTTTGGGATCCCAATGGTCCGTTCCTTCTCCAGGCTGCGTGCAAAAATACCACTTTTCAACCTTTTGGAGGGGGGAGACCAAGCGAAAGGCCGGAAACCAAATTGTTGTTCGGCTCAGTGAGGTCAAGGAAGACCGCTCTATTGGCCTATTCGCACCTTCTTTTCAGCAGCTGTATTTGCAGTGCTAGATGTTCAGCTTGCAACATTCATTTGCCCAGTAGTGGACCCCAGGCAAGCCCATATGGTAGATAGCCCTTCGCGATTTTCCTTTTGATTTATGTCGGCTGGCAACCCCTTTACCTACAAGTCCCAGGATTCACAGATCCCACTGGGTCGGGCTCAAAAGCATAGGTGTCCTTTCGGGTTGTTTTGCTCGAAAAAGTAGATGGCGATTGCTGGTTTACCTGGTGGTTTCCCTGGTGGTTTCCCTGGTGGTTTCCCTGGTGGTTTACCTGGTGGTTTACCACCGGAACCTCAAAAGCGGTTTGGAGCTCCACACGGCCGAAGTCGCGAGGTGGGGCTTTTTCCGCCGCCTCATGGTGGACGCTGGGGCCCCAGCTTGTGGAAACTTTGCGGCGAGGCTGGCGGTGGGCCCCACACGAAACGCGTCGCGGTTTGTTAGCTTCGAGGCCAAAGTTTGGGAAGTCGAAGGTGTCCTTTTGGTTGATTTGGTTGAAAAATGGACGATTCCTGATTTACCTGGTGAGTTCATCAACTACCAGGGCCCATGTAGTTTCCCAAAAAGGATACCTATGTTGGGAACTCGAAGGTGCAGATTGGCGGTGTGTGGTAGGGTGCTCTTCTTCAGGTTGCTTAAATGGGAGGTCAAGGGAAAACACACACTTCTTGGCAGATTTCTTGGTGCTCCCAGCCATCCGGTCCCTGAGCTTTTTAGCTTTTTAGCATTTTTTGAATCTACACAATACATATATATATATGGATATATATATATAGATATATATATATATATACATACATATTCGCCACCATCGAGGCTGGACTGCTGGAGATCACTTCTTCGCACGGCAGGCGGGGCAAAATACCGCACAAAAAGAAACGGTCGACAGCGCTTTTGGGTTGGCCAAAAGTTGGTTGCGACCTGCAATCATAGCAGCCATCATCTCCAAATTCCTTTTCTTTTGCATTTTGGAAAAGACCGATCGGCTTTCCATGGCAAATACCGAATCCTTATTTGAGGGTGAACATGATGCCCTGAATAAAGCGGGTATTGGGTGTAGGGGGGCGGTGTGTTTTTCCCCAACAGCTGAAAGCTTGGGGGTCTTTGCCCAAATAAGCTTTGGGGTGGTTTGGGTCAGCTTTCAGGCAGGATCGGAGGGTTGCAGCTGAAAAAGTTGCCGATTCAGAGAAGAGTGGAGTCCAAAGAATTGATAGGTGGGAGTCTTTGTGAAGCCAAAAGGATTGCTCCGAGTTTTCGCGAAGTCCGAGGGTCGATGTGTTGGAGAGGTGGCCGGCTGTGAGGAATGCAGGTGTGAAATCAGGAGCATGGGAGTTCGTGCGAACATGAACAGGGCTCCTCAAAAGATCTCCATTTTGCAACCATTTGAAGCATGGGTGCTTTTTCAACACCAAAACAAGGGGACAAAACCATTTACAAGTTGCAATGTGGTGCTTTTTCAACACCAAAAGGGGAAACCCACCATCTACAAGTTGCAAGGTTCAGGCGTGTAATGCATCCGGATCCCTGATGAGAGCCGGAGAAGGGGAGCCCGTGGCTACGTTCACGTTCATCTTGGCTTCCTTTTAAAGCTAGCAAAAAAGTGGGGGCCGAGTCCAATACTATGTTGACGCACACCCCATTTCTACCGGTTCTTGAGGACTTCAAGAACAGCAGCGGTGTTTCTTTCCAAAAGACATCTTGATGCCCAGAATCTCTGGAGCAAGTTTGATAAAACTTTTCTACAGCCAAGCCTAAAGGTCAAGGACTCTTTGCCTTTTGAAGGAATCGCGGCAGTGGATTGGTGTTTCGCCCAGAATATAGTAGGTGCCTTTTAGGTTTTCAAGGGTGGTTTTTTCCCTTGGTTATCTACAACACCAGGCAAATGGATCCACTAAGGGCCATGGCATTGGCGAGATTCGGATTTTATCCAATGGGGGCTTCTGACATTTTGGGGCTTCCGTGGGGCTTCTGGCTCCGTACCAAACCGAACTTGTGGATAGAAACTGTTGTTCGGAGATGGGTTGCTTGAGTCTGAAACGACGACCAGGAGGATCCCAGGCGTTTTGCCCGTCTACTAGGTAACCCTTCACTATTTTGGGTTCAAAGGGTGGCAAGCCTTTGGTTGCGTGCATGGATCCGCTGGGGACGACGCCATATGGCTCTTTTGGTGGAACATGTTCCATGAAACTTCCAGCCGTCTCTTGGGATTTCAGGGAGCAACTACCCCCGCAATCTCCAAATACCCAACCTTTTTTAATTTGTTTAATGAGAAGCCGATCGGTCTATGGTAACTACCCAACCCTTTTGTGGGTTGACGTGACACCCTAGAAGAAGTGGTTGGAGGGGGTAGATTGCCCGTACCCTGGAGGCCGTGGGGCAAAAAAAGAAAGCTGGGTATGCAAAGTGAACGCATGGCTGAAGCGTGCGGTTTAAGGAAAGGCACATTCCTTGGTGGTTCCCAGCGAGTTGTCCGGTTCAAATCAGGTTTTTAGGGTTTTTTGGTTGGTGAAAGGTGGTTTGGTGTCCGACTTTATGCCACGGGTTATTCACTTTTCGCCGGTTTTCAGAAAAAAAAGAAGGTAAGCCCAGGTTGGGTGCAGTTCGAAGCTCCCTCTCGCTCGGCCAGGGACCAATACCAGGTCAAGGAGACGCGCATGGTATCGCTGCTCGCACTGCGGCCCAGCTTCCGCGGGGTTCGGTGCCGGTTCGGGGCGCGAAGGCTGGCTCTGGGGCGATGAACTGCAGGGTACGTCAGTGGATTGAGCCAGGTGAAATTTTTCCCCGCTGAAGGGACCTGGTTTTAAAGGGTGAGACTCCAGGGAGACTTATTTCACCGTGGCTTTTGTGGGTAACCATGATTCTTACCCAGTTGCTTTTTTGGCATGTCGAAACCTCCCGGAAGTAGAGAAAGTTCCGAATTCAACCCAACCGGTGAAAGCAACAGGCCCAGTCACCTTGAGTGTTAAAGAAACGCCTATGCACAGCGTGAACAATCGGCAACCTGCCCGATGCAAAAGTTCGAGAACTTCACTGACTGCCAGTTGGAGGAGAGTGTCATATTGCCAGATGTCGCTTTCCATGTGTTAAACTTTATGTTGTTTTTTTTCGAGGGGATGAAGGGATGAGTTGTTTTTAAGCTAGTTTTTCTTGCTGGTTCCCAGCCATCCCCTTAGGTGTTTAGGTTTTTTTTGGGTTTAGTGGGTTTCCATTAACTCAGCCATCCTAAAACTGCTAGCAGGGGATTTGAGAAGGGATCGCCCAGTTTTAACTAGGGCTGCCCGCCAAGCCCTGAAAACGTGGAATGCGATCCCCAGAACTGTTTAGGTCGCCGACCGGAGCTCGTCGCGGACATCAAAAAGGGGGCGTCTTTTTTTGGAGGTTTTTTCTTGAAGGGTCGCCAAATAGGAAGCCTACGGGTAGAACGGGGATTTGAGCTGGCTCAAGCTCCGGGGTCAGGCTTCTTCTTGCGATTTGGTTCCTGGCCATCAGCTTTTGAAGCCCTGGGGGCAGCATTTGTGTGTCTGTTACCCAACCGCCTCGCGCAAGTGGAGGCAGTTTTTCCATCGAGGACAAGCGGGGTACCATCTTTGAAGATAACCCCGCATCTGTTTGAGCAAATTGGCGCGGGGTCTGGAGTCTGAAGGCCGCCCTGAGTTCACATCTTTGCGTTTGCCCATCGATTGGATCGCGTGGCTGGATCGATCAGGGGTCCCTATTTTCCCCTGTTGGTTCCAATCACTTTTAGTTCGTGGGTTTCCATTGTTACACGGGCTTACCCATTGAACCGCCAGATATTCCGCTGTCGGTTTTCTTGGCCTTTCCCAGCCGTCCCCTTAGCTTTTGAGGCTAGGGTTTAGTGGTAGTTTGCATCTACCCCACTAAAAGTTGAGCTTAAGAACTCTTAGCGGTGCGAATCCTAAAAACAGATGAGCCACCCAAGTAGGGGAAGCCGCTTGTGAGAAACCCAATCCCAAGCCCGTGGGACTTTGTCATGGGATGGGAATCAACCGCTTTGGAGTCAAGGAAAGGGTGATGTTTCGTATCACCAGGGCTGCTTTCTGCGTTTGACATCTCGACAAGAGCGGCGCGAGTTCCCGCAGGCCGGAGATTTGAGGAGATCTCTCGGGATTTTGCGCGAACTTAGGCTCTGACCGCGATCCACGATATCATGAAGATGGATGCGCTGCTTCCCACCGCGGGGGACCCCCGGAGTCAAACCCAAACGACCACACCGCTTGAAAGGCGAAAGGCGAAAGGGGGCGGTGGAGCCTCAGTTTTTCCCCCAGCTGAAAGCTATGGGGTCCTTGCCATGGTGTTCCCAGGTCCGACTCAAGCCGCTAGGATTGCCTCGAACATCTACAGCATCGTTGCGTTCCAAATAGTCAGCCAGCCATTTGACCCACTTCTTTGTGGGTTTGATTGACATCTCTCCTTTCAGCTTCTTGTACAATGGTTCTATTTGCACAACTAGCAAAAGGAAAGTAACCTGTGGCGGGTGATTTCAAATCAAGGGACCGAACTCCAGGGGATCTTTTTTATTGCACTGGTTGCTTGAGAGGACCATAAGGACTGCCTATCTTATGGTGAGCTCACCTGGGGGAAAAACGAGAGCTATAGAGGTTCTTCGCTTGGGCCTTGGAGTTTGTAGTAAACAAATGCAGGTAAGGATGTGGCAACGAACGCTTCCAAAAACCTTATTGTGCGAGCCTACGCCAATCTTCCCCCCCCCCCACCCGTGAATTCACTATGGCACATATCCAAACACTCGCGGATGAGTCGATTTTCCATGCGCAAGTGCCGAGTTTGGGAGGCTCAGCCATAAAAGTGAAGCATGGCGGTTTTGCGGGCCCATCAGACTAGCTCAGCAGCTTCAGGCGATTGGCTGCAAATGGAGCTGAACCCGAAACGAACCCGAGCCTAGCATTTTCAAGACAAGTTTGGCTGGCTGATTGGGGATCCGCTCCTGAAATAGGTGTTCTTTCTGTCCTCCAAGATCCTGCAGACTCTGTGTTCAAACAGGTGCTCACAGATGGTGGTTTCAGTGGTGTCCCTTTACCACTCCAAACAGTCACTCCCATGAGGCATGGGGGCTCTTTTCCGACCAGGATTCGGGCCATGGCCGACGTTGGTTTGTTGGTTTGTTGGCATTTTTCGCTTTTTGGCGCCATCAGATGACGCAAAGCCACCAATCCAAACCAACTGGAGGGAAGCTGACTGGGGGGGAGGGTTATCAAACCGGCCTTCCCATGAAAAACCGCGCGTTTTGGTTTGTTTGGGGCAGCTCTTTTGAAAAACCTGGGGGCAGACTGCCAGAGGGGTCCTGGGTCCTGGTCCTGCAGGTGCAGCCTGAGCACGATGGCTACCATGGCGTCTTGGACGCGCATTCCCGCGCTTTTTTTCTGGTGGAACTCGCGGGGAGCATCCGGGCGTCGTCTTTTGAGTGGTCTTATTTAATGGACATCCCATTTTAAAGGACCTGATGATCAACCTCGGGTATCCAACACACTTCAAAGGGGAACCACAAATATTCAGGGGTCCCACAGAATAACACCCGCACAGATCTATTTTGAGGGGACCCATGGCGGGTCAGAAGGGGAAAAAAAGGGACACCATATACATGGCGGTGTCCGTTTTTTTGAGGCTCGGTACACGGGTTGGTTCAACGGGAGTCCGATTCCTATTTTGAGACACACCCATATTTTGAGAGTCGACATGTTTGCAGACAAACCCGGATGGAGAAAAGTAAGCGAGAAATCCAGTGCACGTCTGCTTTATGGTGGGCTATGCATAATTATGCGGTGCTGGTGGCACCTCAGTTTTAGCACCAACACCTCTAGACTGTCTCGGGGCGTTCCATTGTGTTGGGGAGTATACTACCTTTCGTGTCTCTCCTTCTCAAGTTATTATATAATGTCATGATATGTTTTTATTTTATTTTTTATTTTTTTACGTATTGCATTGTGTTCTGTTATATTGCTATTATTCCCGAAAGCATCGCGAAGGGTTCTTCCATGCGGAGCCCTTGGACTAAATCACAGAGTGATTACACAGAGTGAGTTGCACAGAGCCAAGTTGCACAGAGCCAAGTTGCACAGAGGGAAGTTGCACAGAGCCAAGTTGCACAGAGCCAGTGCATAGAGCCATGTGCACAGAGCCAGGGGCACAGAGCCGAGTGCATTGAGCCAAGAGACTCATAGAGAATATACGTAACGCGCGTGAAAGAAAGAAAGAAAGAAAGAAAGAAAGAAAGAAAGAAAGAAAGAAAGAAAGAAAGAAAGAAAGAAAGAAAGAAAGAAAAGAAAGAAAGAAAGAAAGAAAGAAAGAAAGAAAGAAAGAAAGAAAGAAAGAAAGAAAGAAAGAGAAAGAGCTCGGCAACAAGAATCGTTTTCTTAAGGCGGGGGGGGGGGGCGGGTTGCTGTCATCACTCCTGATTGCAGCCCTCTGCGGAGATCGGCGTGGCCGATGTCAAACAACTGAGGACTTTTTACCCGCGTGCCGATGTTGAAAAAAAACAGGACTTTTTGCGATTTTTGCGGTGCCCACGCAACCCTCTGCGGAGATCTGCGTGGTCAATGTTAACAATCTGAGGACTTTTTAGGATTTCTGCGGTGTGCGCGACCCTCTGCCGAGATCGGCGCATTCGATGTAAAAACTGGGGACTTTTTACGACCTTTTGCGGAGATCCGCGTGGTTGATGTTAACGATTTCTGCGGTGCCCACGCAACTCTCTGCGGAGATCTGCGTGGTCAATGTTAACAATCTGAGGACTTTTTAGGATTTCTGCGGTGTGCGCGACCCTCTGCCGAGATCGGCGCATTCGATGTAAAAACTGAGGACTTTTTACGACCCTTCGCGTGGTTGATGTTAACGATTTCTGCGGTGTGCGCGACCCTCTGCGGAGATCCGCGTGGTCGATGTTCAAAAATTGAGAACTTTTTACGGTTTCTGCGGGGATCGTGCGTGTCGAAGCGCTCTCGCTATGCTCTCACTGTGGCCCCGTGCGAATTCGGCTTAGTTTCGGCGAGCCCTCTCGAAATGGCCTTTGGAAGTCGTCTCGTGGTTAGCGCGCCTGCGTTCGCAATCGCGCGGTCGCGGGCTCAATTCTCCCCTGGTCCGCGGCAGCTCTGGCTCGAAAAGCGCAAAATTTAAGTACGAAAGTAGGGCGATTTCGCAGCTCCGGCTGGAAAATCGCAACTTTTCAGCTGGAGAGTAGTACGCGAAGTGCACTTTCGCAGCTCTGGCTGGAACATCGCAACTCTTAAGTACGAAAGTAGTACGCGAATAGAAGAAACCTGTTCAGAGCAATTTGCTGAGAGAACTTGCTTGGAGAAGAACTCGCGCCAACAACTTGCTCAGAGCAACTTGCTCACAGAACTTGCTTGGAGAACTTGCTCAGAGGAACTCGCACCAACAACTTGTTCAGAGCAACTTGCTGAGAGAACTTGCTTGGAGAACTTGTTCAGAGGAACGAGAGTTTGCTTGGAGAACTTTCTCAGAGGAACTCTCGCCAACAACTTGCCTAGAGCAACTTGCTGAGAGAACTTGCTTGGGGAACTTGCTCAGACGAACTCGCGCCAACAACTTGCTCGGAGCAACTTGCACAGAGACACTGTTTTCCGTTGGGTTTCCCTTTCAACCAACCTGAAAAGGGTAGTACCCTCAACCCGCAAGCCTGTTGAGCCACAGCAAAGTCTGGTTTTTGGTTTGCCGTTGAAACCCTCTGGCGCGTGCTTTCCCGCGGCCGAGGCTATGCCGCTGGTGACGTGATCGGTGACCACGACCATGCCCTGTGCTACTTGATGGCGGGCACCTCAGTGGTTTCATTTGGGTTTGTTCATTGTTTTGTAGATGTCGAGAAGTAATTACAAAGCAAGGGCCTGAATGGGTTTGCGAGGGTTCACTTGTATCATGGGTACTTCATGGGTGGTTCGAAAGGGAAAGACGACAGGAAAGCAGCTATGTCGGGGGTCCCCGATTTCGAGACCAACCCTTATGGCTCAGCCGCGGAAGACGCGCTTCTTCCATTCAGGGCATGGACATGAGCCTCCCACGCACTATCAATGCACGGAAGCTCAAGGTTGATGGTACCCCTACACTTTGTTCAAGGGTATCACGTCAACCCTATACCCGAAAAAGAACGGAAAGCCAGGCTTTTCAAGAAATACCTTCGAAAACAAAGGAGGTATTTGGAGCAGGGGCACCTCAAGTGCGATGGGTCGATCCCACACCCCCTTGGAGTAGAACCGACCTTCGAGGTCAAAGCTCCGAAGACGTCAAGATTCCTTTTTAATTCTGACCATGGCTCACTTTGCAACCGTGTGGTGAAAGTCGTATCTTGTCGGTGGTTTTCCTCATGGTCACCCCATGCATATCGGACCTTTTGATCACACGGCACGTGCTATTTTGGTTTTGCCCCCCGGCCCAACGAACAAATTGACAACAACAAGAGCTTCGGTTTCTCTTTTGGCTTAAAGAGGACCAACTCCAAACAAGCGCGTCGTATTTCCATCTCCAAATAGGCTTCTCGCTTCGGACATGGAGAATGGGGTATCCATTTAGAATATGGGGTGTGGGCTATAGTTCTGGACTTTGGGCACTTTTTGGGGAGACCGTGTTAGTGGTAAATAAACAGTTGACTTTTTTTGGCTCATCCACTCAGGAAGTGAATTTTTTTCTTTGTCGTACTTTTTAGGAAAAACCTATCGGTTTCCTGTGTTAAATACTGTAGAGGGTTGACATGATACCCTGTATTTGGAGTAGGGGGGCACGTTTCATGTTGCGGTTGCTTTTTGAGAACTTGGCCCAGTGGATCCAGTTAATCCATTTACCTGGTTTTGTAAAGGGAACCACCCGCTGCTGGGTGTGTGTGTGTGTGTGTGTGTGTGTGTGTGTGTGTGTGTGTGTGTGTGTGTGTGTGTGTGTGTGTGTGTGTGTGTGTGTGTGTGTGTGTGTGTGTGTGTGTGTGTGTGTGTGTGTGTGTGTGTGTGTGTGTGTGTGTGTGTGTGTGTGTGTGTGTGTGTGTGTGTGTGTGTGTGTGTGTGTGTGTGTGTGTGTGGGTGCTATATATGGGAAACTCGGGTCCACTGGGTGAGGCTTCCAAGAAATCCAATTCGGTGAGCCACGGTCTGGAAATCAAAACATAACCAGCAGCAATGCCACTCAAGAGGAGCACCAAATCGGGACCCATGGCTGGATGTCCTCGGTCTTGACCCAAACAGGCCAGGCGCGCCTCCAGCAGAACCACCCGAAACCGGGTCAAAAGGTTCGGGATTTGGGCTTATCAAATCACTGCCGGCTTGAAGTGTTGCCAAAACCCAGGGCCCAACAAAAGAGTTTGCACGTAGGGCTTCATTTCGACCGCCCGAAAAGCACCGTGGATTGCCAGCACTCATGCGTGGGCTCTTGCCATGTGTCTTTTCTTTGGGCCCCTGCCAAAATGGATTTCGGTTTTCCTTCTCCCCAAAGACCAGGTACCCTCCAAAAAGACGGTTTTCCTTTTGGTTTCCCTTTGACACGCCCCTCAACAAATGCTCCAAAATCACCTTAAAACCCATAACACCCCTCAAACCCTACCAACCATTCTAATGTCAGTGAACAAAAACCCTCAATCAAAAAGCAAACCATGGTGGTCTTCCAACCCTCCCAAGCCGAACCTCGGCTGTTGGGTCGCTCGAGGATCACTACCCCGACCTGCTGCCCTCCTTCCGCGAGCTGGACGCCGCCGAGCGTCAGTCCGTGCAGTTCACACAGCCGCTCGGCCCCGGTTCTGCGGGGGTACGGAACCCCCCCGGGTTTCGGGGGCGGCGGCTCGTCTTTTCGAAAAGGGGACCCCTTTTGGACTGAAAGTGTTTTTTTTTTTCCCGAGGGGGAGGGGGGGACCCTTTTTTGCGAGAGAGCAAGAAAGCCTAGGTGGCCTGAGTGCGTGTTTTTGGAGGGAACCCCTTTTGTGGGCGGTCGTTTTTATTAAAAAAAATATCGTGAAAAAGAGGACCGCCGAAAATAGCCCAAGACCTTGGACCCAGTTCGGCCTGCCCGAATTGGGTGTGGGTCTTTGGGAACATCACAAAAAACAGACAACCCGCCCCGTTTTTTTTCTTTCTTGTTGGTTATTTATGCGTTGGACCTGTTTTCTTTTTGCAGTATGTAAACCAAAAGGAACGCACAAAGCCGGGATTTTTATGGGTCGAATTTCGACGGTCGAATGACTAAATTTGTCAAATATACCCGAATGGTGCAAGTAAATTCACCCAACACATCCAACCGGTGGAGATATCCGCCCCTTTGATATTTGTTATATGTGGCAAAAGTCCTGAATGTTGACCCCATATTAATCAACCCCTGTTTCTAAATAAGTGGTGTTGGCTTAGTGGGGAATCATTGCTTTGGGAGGGGAACACCCCCCATTAATTTTCTGGGCTTGATTAATATGGGGTCAGCATCACATAGCAAGTTTGATTGTGACTTACTAGAGGCAACCAACTCGAACAAGGCCTGCCCTTGCTTTTTCCCGGTTCAGCATCCTTTGCATTTCTGTTTTAGGTGTTGATTTACTGTTGCGTTGATTGGATGAGCATGTGTGGATATCCATGGTCAAAAGACCCCTTTCCTTGGGGTTAGCGTTGGGATGGTCACCCACCTTGTAGTAAGGATCCTTAATGACCATTATAATAATTCCCTAATATGACATAGGTCGTATAAGGAGTTGTGATGATGGCACATTTATCCTCTTCAGTTCAGGGCTTCCGTGTCTTTCCAGAGTCCTTGTTTTGGAGTGTCCACACCAATGGCAACCAGGTTGGCGGAAGCGGGATCGCTTTCGAACTTTACACTTGGTTTTATATTTCAATCATGCCAGAAGGAAAGCCGATCGTTTTGTGTAAGTGGATTTACCAGCCTTGGTTTTGGGGTGTGATTGGTGGATATTCGCCGTTCTTGTCCGAGCCGGCGCCGTGTTGCTTCTCCCTTTCGATGCCGGATGTCAGTTTTCGGCATGAAGAGAGAGACCCCCTAGTGCAAATAGTTTTCTTCATGGTATGTTTTGAAAAGAATTGTTTTCCATGGTAGATATCTTCGCTTTGAGTGGAGGGTTGGTGTTTGGAGTAGGGGGGGGGTACACGCCCCGAGACCATGGAAGCTCCCAGGACCTTTGGAAGACTTCGATCCCTAGGGGCCCTTTGGGAGCTTCCGTCGCCAGTCTTTGGAGGTTGGACATAATGCTTGGCCTGGGAGTTAGGCAAAGGTTTAGGGGTGATTCCAACCATTCGTTTCGACCATCGTTCTTTTCAAAACCAGATCCGTTTTCCCTGGTTTTCCGGCACTTACACAGGAATTCAGGGTGGCTAGCTGGGAGTCAACCACTTCGGGACCGTGGGGAGCGGTTTGATGGCGAGCACTGCAGGTGCAATCTGTGCTTCAACCACGGCTGGCTCGTTCAAGCGGAGGCTCGCGCCCGGCATAGGCTTTGCTAAGCTCTGAATGAGATGGACATTCAAGTCCTGTTTTGTGTGGTTCTCAGGGTATCTTTTCAGGTTGGTTTCAAGGGAAAAAGGAACATCAAATTCATTTGGGGGTCCCAAACCCCTATTTTGGCAGTACCCTTGTGGCTTCCATTTACAGCATATTCTGCCCCCAAACAGGGGCACTCCCATCAAAAGACATTCCACTGGGGGTGGGGGGGACTTGGGCAGCTATGGGGAGGCATTGGAAATCTGACATCTGAAAATGTTTGGAGGTTTGCCGGCAATATTCAAAGCTGGCAAACGTTTGGATACCTGGAATAGAGAACGTTTTAACTTTTTGGGGGAACAGGCGAAGCGCGGCAAGGGTGGCATTTGTGGCGTGATTCGTGCCAAGGAGCTCTGCGATTGTATGTGTGTGTGTGCGCGTTTGTTTTGGCAGGAACCCAACAAGTGGAAGCCACAAGGAAGACAACTTATTAGAGTCCCTCTATTTTGATACCTTTTGACCGTTCCCCCCCCCCCCCGCCATTTCAAATCTTGCGAAGTATAATCCAACATGTTTTTTGGGTTGGGCAAGAGCTGAGAGGTAGATACCCGGAACCAGAAGCTTTCAAGGAGCTTCCACCCAAAGAATATGACAGAGTCTTATTTTGATTGTCCACAGCCATCCGGTTCCTTGTCTGTTTTTAGTTGTTTTTAGTTTTGTTCTTGTTGTTTTTAGTTGGTTCAGTGTTAGTTTCCGTTTAACCCACTAAAAGTGAAACTTTTAGAAGGAGATCAGAGCATGGACAGCTCAGTTGTGTAGGTTTTATTTACCCATGATTTACCCGTTGGCTCATCCAAGGGTATATTCTGGAGGTTTAATGTTTGTCCGCACCCCGAAGTTAGCGCCCATGTCACCCGTAGTCAAACCTTCCTGGTAACAGCCTACACGCTCCAATCAAACAAGATGCACACGCGTCTCTTGACGAAACGCCCCCTTGGGGCGTTCCTAAAACCCCCGGTGGCTGCCATTCTAAGTCCTGTCCGAAGCGAAGCTCGCAGGTCCAGGAGGTTAAAGTCCCATCTGTCCTTTTTGAGGTTGGACCCCCAATGGCTGGGTGTTTAACTTGTGGTTCTCCTAAAGCCAAGAAATGGGGTACCAACTCCATAAAAGACGAGCCAGGCTTTTTTCCTTCTCGGCTCACCAGGTCCAGAAGTCCGTGTTTCTGAGATCCCCTTTTGGCAACTAAGCCTTAGGGGCCAATTAGTGGGCCCACGGCTCATTTTCCGCCATGCATCAAAACGCAGTTTAACAAGCGCAGACGCTCAAACGCCAACGCAGGCCACACACGCCAGCCGAATGGTAAGCACACCCTCTCAACATCAGCCATCCCCCTAGCTTCGTTTAGGGTTTGGTGGGAGTTTTAATTTAACAAACTAAAAGTTCAACTTTTAGCAGGGGATCAGAAAATTGACAGCCCAGTCAAGCGTCCCTGTTGTGAAGCAGCAGGCTTTCCAGTGGATCTGGCGGCAAACGCTGGGAGCGAGGAGCCCTCATGAGGTTTGGCCGAGCAAAGAGCTTTGCTGTGTCTCAGCGCGGGGTCTCCTTGTAAAAACACAGTGCCGCCATGTCGGTTTCAGTCTGGCTTTCCAGGAGCCGACTCCTTGCTTTTTTTTTTTTTAACGATACAAAGAGTAACCCTGCTTGGAGAGGACGTGTCGGGAGCACTGAAGCAAGTCACGGTGCGAGCCGCAGCGAATTTCTGTTGCGTGCCACGGAGGAATACAAGCCATGGTCCTAGTTGTAGTCCTAGTTGCGACCTGTAGATCCTCCTGCAGGCTTAC